CCCCCCCCCCCCTTCTCCCACTCAAAAAGTTGCTGCGCGGGTGCTGCTTTTTAAAGATATTTTGCGAAAGATCATAATAAGCTAAGCTCTCCTAAGTCACACTTGGTGTGAGTACCATCCTCAGTATTGTTTTTAACAATGGGCTTTTGTATTTAAATACTTTCTTATTATAAGACAGTCTCATAAATCTGGTCCAAAGATCTTCCTAGTTTATTGTGATACTACAAACTATTGGACAGAACTTATGTACAGTGTATCTCTGCAATGTTATGGCTCAAAGTACACAGCTTGCTAAAACATAGGTAGGTTCTGTTCCCACGGAAATACAGTACTGTAATAAATCATTTGGCCATTTCTATGCAAAAGGTTGGGCAAACTGGGAAAACAAAACAGGCAAACCCAAGCAAAAAATAGCTGCATAGAGAACACGCCTCCTACTGAAATGTGAAGGAAATAAGAGCAGCAACCTGAAGTAACCTGAAATCCCTGGCATCGTGTAAAGGATACATGTAGAACATATTCTTACATAAGATACATCTTAAGCAAGAGCATGGAAAGCTTGTTTTTCGGGGCCTGTGGATTTAGCAGGCAAGACCATCCAAAACATGCATGTACATAAGTCATCACCATAACTTTTGGTATTATGACCTACTGACAAGTATATGTATTTGTTAATCTGAAACCTGAAATCTGTTTTTGCAGTCATTTCAACAAATTTTTGTATTGAAAGAACATTCAAAGCTAAGTTTAACTGCCATTTTTGTAAGACAACAATGTTCCACATAACTATAGGTCATATTTGAGCCTTAATATTTTCCAAAAACAAACAGACAAATAATTGAGGGTCTAACATAGGGTTGGTGGGATGCAGGATGAGGCTTTTTTCGCCACCAGTATGCAGGATGGAAGGAAATTTGAAGGCAGGATGCAGGATTGCAAGGGGCCAGTAGGAGGCAGGAAAAGATTATCTCCATGGCGGGAGGCGGGAAATGCTTATTTCTTCATGAAGAAAATGGGATGTAAGAAGTTGACACAGTCAGGTAACTTGATTTTTCATTTTTTGTCTGCTTTTTCAAAGTCTATCTGCATTTCTAATCCTTAAATCAGCAAATCACTTTGCAGTCTGACTACTGTCTCCTGTTTAAATAAACACCTGTCACATTTTAACCTGATAACAGTGGATAACGATCAGCAACACCAAACTTAGGAAGACATAATATGACACCGGGGGCACCCAGTCTTCAATGACTGACCTCCATTGTCCCACACGATAACAGGAGCAAACAGGTTTGAAGAGAGTTGCTAGATTGATTCTAGATTGATTCTAGACCGGTAAAACTTTCACTTGATCTAATCAGGCCATGTCAATTCCCATAGAGTTTACAGTCGTATATCTTTCTCTTGGTCAGGAGTGATCACGTCAGACACACAGCCCTGGCTACTATGTGCCAACTTCGCACTGTCAAAAATCAAAATGGCATGGTGCGCGCGTGAACACAGAGGTATTGGGTTGAATCCGGATTGCTCCTAAATAGCTAGCTTTTATCTGTGTCTTTGAAATGAAAAACATAATCGATTGGCCAACCACTCATCACATTGGAGCCAAATCAAAAGTCAAAGCATATTAATTCAATTGAAATGTGGGTCACGGCCTACCAAAATTTTTGTGGGTGTCTACACACAGAAATCTCCTGTAGAAGCTCCTTTGTTGATGAAATACAGTGAAATCACAAGGGATTTGGCAGCAAGAGGCAGGTGCAGATCCATACCGGTTTCCACCGTTTTAAGGAAATCAGTCAGAATTTTCATAATAAAAAAAAAATTAATAGATATGTATATATTTTTAATAAAAGTAAACTGCAAGTTGAACCTTGAAAATAGTTTTGACATCTATTTTTTATTAATTCTTTTTTGCCAATTACCGGGAATAGACAAGGGTCATAGGCACGTTCTGGCAGCAAAATTTTACAGCTGGAAAATCATTAGTCTCCCGACGGCAGTCACGCCATCACATCATCGCCGCAAGGCTTCATCCAAGGAGAATGGAACCTGCAAATATATTTTCTGACTGACTCAAAAAGCCAAGAAAGGGTACTTTAGGTAGTTGAAATTGAAAAAATTTCCTGGGGGAGCATGCCCCCAGACCCCCCTAAATCGGTCAACATTTTTCCTAGATCCGTGCCTGAGAGCATATGTCTGACATTGCTATGACGAGAACTTTTGATATCTCCACAAGTGCACTCCGAGTTGTGGATCAGATCACAGCTACCCAGACATACTTTTTCTTAGATGAATTCGGTAAAGAAGATTAAGGGTGAATCAAAGTCAGGCTTTCGTATACCCAAGGGTTACTGCTGGAAGTATCATAAAGGCTTCATGTTTGTTGGATGTAATTATAAACATTTCTGCCCATTACTTCAGAAGAATCATCAAATGATGATTAATTGCAACAATTCTCATCCCTTCAATGGAAAATCTCTTGCTGCTAATTCTGCCACTCCCAACACCAGTAAAGGTAGAACGACTTGAGCTTTTGCTGGAAGGGTATTACTTTCATAATCAAGTGTTCTTAATTGATGGATCTCAGTATGGCTTTCATCCTTTTTCTGTTGGTCAAAGTAGATCTTATGAATCTCCTAATTTACTATCTTCCAGACAACAACCTGAAGTGGTTGATCAAAAAGGAGCTAAGGAGCTGAAGGCCCATAGGTTGGCTGGGCCTTTAGAATCGCCACCATTTCCTGTTTCCAGAATATCACCCTTGGGTATTGTTCCAAAGAAAAGCCCAGGGGATTTTCGTATGATCTGTCACATTTCATATCCCAGTGGTGAATCTGTTAATAATGAGATTTCCCATGAACATTCAAGTGTTCAAAATGCTAATGTTGACAAGGGTATCAAATTGATAAGACAGACAGGTGTTGGTCCTTATAAATATAACAATTTCAGCATTTTACCTGTAACGGTAAATCCCCAAGATTATCATCTTTTGGGCATCAAATGGAATGGATGATATTATTTTGATACATGCAAGCCTATGAGGTTTTCCAGCGCTTGCAAAACCTGTGAGACTTTCAGTACAGCAATCAACTGGATTAATTGCCAAGGATAAACTTTGTTTAGTTAATCTCATTCACTTGCTGGATGACTTTCACCTTATTCAGCCAACAGCAAGTCAGTGTTCAATGAGTCTTCGACTGTCTTAGGTCTGTGTGATTTTTTGGGCATTCCCATGGCACCAGAAAAAAAATGTTTGGCCTTCTACGATTTTGACATTTGCAAGCGTGGAGCTAGACACTATTCATTGTGAATTTCACCTCCCTGAAATTAAGTTATTGAGATGTTTGCAATAATTTGATTGCCAGCTTTATTAAAAAGGAGAAGGCAACATTGAGAGAGTTATAGTCGCTTACTGGGGTACTAAATTTTGCTTGTTCAGTTGTTGTTCCAGGCCGTACCTTCTTCCGTTGGCTTATTGACCATTGGGCTCAAAAGACCAGGTTATTGTTTGCATATATATATATATATATTTTTTTTTTTACAACAGTACTACAATTACTAATTACAGAAGTGATACAACAACTAACACGACTTACCCTAATTAACAATACAATGCAATTACACATGCTACTGACAATACTAAAATTTGCATAATTTACTCTACAAAACAATACATTTACCCTTTATAAGTTACGAAACTAATACCATACTGATGCTTCTTACATTCATATTAGAACAATAGTAGTAAGACACTAATAACTGAGACTGAGACTGATTATATAAGGTAAATTGAATTAATTAATTTAAATTTTGCATTTTTCAGCTTTCCATTGCAAAGATAGCACTGACTTCAATTCGAGAAAATTGAAAGTTTTTTCCAACATTTTGCAATAATATAAATAATAATATTTTTGAGTTTACACTACTTAAATCCCAAATGTCTGGGTGAGGTTTGTGCTTGTATTTGGGGGAAGATCATAGTCCTTAAATAGTAGCAGTTGTTTGTATATCCACGTAGTTTAAGGCTGATTTGCTTACTTGGCCACATTTTATAAAAGAATATAATGGTAAATCATTTTTCCTTAATGAGAAAACAGTGTAAGTCTCCTGTTATTGACTGCTGCAGTGGGGGCACCTGGTTTTGGAGCTCTATTTGGTACTCACTGATGCTATGGAGAATGGCCCATTTGGTGGCAAGGTCAAAATATTGCTATCCTCGTATTTTACCTATTGTTCCGAGTTTACTGTTGTGGGGCAACAATATAAGGGACAAGTGCCTTACATTTTTTACTGATAATGAGGGCATTAGTTCACATTTCGATTCATGGCACAGTACAAGGCCCACTTTTTATTAATCAGAAGGGGTTGCCGGTTTTGAGAAGCGATTTTTGTAAAATGCTTTGCTCAGTTATTCAACTGTGCAACTTGGACCCTAAGAGGTATAAAGGACAGAGCTTTAGGATTGGTACTGCTACTCATGCAGCTGAACAGGGCTTTTCTGACACAAAAATTAAGCAACTGGGTAGATGGAAATCTCATGATTTCAAAACATATATCAGGATAACTTCTCTGGAATCTGTTTCTTAATTCTATGTAGAGGGGATTCCCATGTTACTGCCTGCAAAAGTGGCACGACTTTGGGATCCCATTTTTGATATCCTGCACCTTGTGAGTTTTATCTATAAGATCAAATTCCCCATTATTTACTATACTTCATTAATGCATTACGTTTACATTACTTATAATACTTCATTTGTCAGAATGGAATTTGTGCTGGGGTGGGGTGTACTTTTGCTTTGCAAGGTCTTTGGCGGTTTATGCCCTCACCTTCGCAGGCAATACATATTTAATCAAAAGCTTGTGTATTGGATTTTCAGAGTTTAATAAGCGGGCTATGTGTTGAATTTCACATAGCCATTTTTCTCCATCCTGTTGTTTGTATTGCCCTTACGAACAGAGCTCAGCACACATTTCATTCTCATTAGGGTTTGCTGTTATAATGGGTAAATTGAAACATAAATTACTTTTAGTGCAACTGTGCCAGCCGCAACAGTCTTAAATAGGGTGTCTAATTTTTGGTCAGGTCATAAATAGCAAAGGGAAAATTGAAGATTTTGGTCATAAACAGGGTAAAGGTTTTGGGGAGCAGGCGGCACATCCCCACCCAATTTTTTTTGGAGTCCCCCCCTCCCCCTTCACGGCCTCAACAAGAAATTTTTTCTTCATTTTCCTTTGTCCAGTCTGGTAAAATATTATCTATATTCAAAAAACTCTCTACCATTTTACAAGACAGGGGGAAAATGTTTCTAAATTATAATGACATCATTTTTGTGTCTGTCCTCTAATAGATCATAGGTAAAAACCAATCGAAATGCGAGAATAACTTGACATATTATATAATCTGTTGTAGATACTGTAGTGAGTAGTCTAGCAGCCTGGAGTTGCTGACAAAATGTTGGCCACCTCTTCGTAACCACTAAGAAGCAACCGTCATTTTGTTAACAAGGGCTCACTGCTAGCTACTCACCATTTATCACAGAATAGATAGTGAGTAGCGTAGCCAATCAGAGAACCGCCTTTGTGATAGAGCGCTAGTAGATTTACACTAAATATATTTAGTGGAATTCTACTTGAACACTAATGCAAATGCTGTAATTGATTGGCTGAGCCATTGCACACTATCAGCCATTAGTGTGCAGTGGCTTGGTGTGGTTGACAAAATTGCAACGTTTCCTTGTTTCTCTGAAGTTTTGAAAAACGTTGTCAAGCAAATGGATAATGAAATTCCTGAGAAGACTAAAAGAAGAACATTCATGGTTTCTTGAAATAAAAAAATAGAACTTTTTTTAAAGAAGCTGCTAAGCACGCGTACACAACTGCAAATGTCAAATTGACAATTCAGTCCTCGCAAATTTTCCAAAGCATGAAGTTTAATACCAAGACTAGATATAATTGGAATCATTATTTAAAGCAAATTTTGGTTAGAAGTCTACTAAAACAATTAGATAATTCATTTCAATGAGGTGATAGTTGATGAGGCCAAAGGCCAAATCAACCATCACCTCATACAAATCTCAAGCTCATAATCTAATTGCTAATTAGATTATGCGCTCTCAATTCCTATGCTTGACAGTTGATTTGGGCTGCCTCCTTGTCATTTATCTGAAGCTCATAATATAATCTGCATGTTAAATAGAAACATAGACCATGTTTTCTACCCTGTAAAAAATAATGATCTCGCTCTGATGTCAATGACTAGGACAGACACTTCTTGCAACGGACAGTAAGATTGTTTGCCTGAGAGAGAGCTAACAGTGTAAGAAGTTATAAGAGAATGACTGGGCTAAATTGCCCAATTGTTCAGATAGTGTTTTATTTAGTTGAAAATAAAACACATGAGATTCCAAACTCCCCAGAACGTGAGACATACATAACAAAATGCGTGACGATCGCTTCCTTTGCAAGAAGTTTAAAGTTCTTTCGCTTTCGTGCAGATTATGGACATGTTTGCAGCACAAGCACGAATTGATCAAAAGAGTGAAGATCCACTAGTGTTGACTACATGAGCGAAATAAAGTATAAACATTAAAAGGTCTTCTCGTTCTGCTGGTTCATTAAGAATAAAATATGCTAATTTTCTGTATTTTTAAGTCAAGCTTAGCTAGCTTATCGAAAGCACAGTGTAAGCATTTTCTCACTGAACAAAGTACAGCTCGATTATTTCGCTTAAGCTAACTTACCTTACATCCCAGTCATCTGCGCGAGAGGAAGCCATTCAAACACTCAGAATCTATTCCGTGAATGGAAGCATCAAGACAAAAAACAAAGTGATAGCTGAGAGATTTCCGTCTGTATTCACACAACACAAAAGCAAACTTCCAACATGGCGTCGAATGACCAAGTTGACTTTTATCCAATCAGAGGCCACAACAGGACAAATATACTTCCGGTTTCGATTGATTCGGAATTGATGAAAATTTAGCAAAAAAAGTTCAAAATTCTTAGTCTATTCTTGATGAATCTAGCCATTAAAAACAATTTGCATTTGTTTCCCTTCGCTTGTTGTTTATTTCCCCTTTTCTATGTGCGCTGCTTAGCTGATCGAGATCGATATTTAGGGTTTATTTATTCCGTTACTCTTTACAACATGATGGAAAAAGCAAGCATCCTGAAGACACATAAAATTGCAAAGAAATTAAAAAGATCCGAATTCACACATGCTTTACTTAGCAAGTCGAAAATTTCTTTCAAGTAAGAATTTGTTTACGCGACAATAGCATGGCAGCAGCAGCTGGAAGTATAAAAAGACAAAGAGACAAGAAGCTCTCGACGAATGAGATCAAAGATTAATCTGCACATAGAAATCGTCAGCCAATCAAAATAAACTGTTTAACGCATTATCTATGCGGCGAAAGAAGACCAACTGATGGATGAGTAATGTAGGTGCAATTTTTTTCTTACTCGAAAAGAAATATTTGTAATGATTTTGAGAAATTAATTTCAGCTATGGCGAAAGGCTGTGTAAGTTTCGAGTCTAAAATAAGCGGAATAAACTGACAGTGCTTTACAAAGGCTTAGCCACACCAACGCATCTTTTATAATCCCGTATGATGAAAGAACAATGGCTTTTTTACCTGCCGTGTGTAAATATATCGAGGCACGAGTCGACCCTTTGTAATGATTATGACCATTAGAACAAGCGTCTATTCAGGGATTGACGAATTCAGAGCCACCTAGACCACGTGCAAACTGCGAAACAAAAACATAATCATGGCGATTGCTTAAAAGTTATTATTGACTGCGCTAGGAGAAGTTCGCAAAGAAACGATCGCATCCATTTAGCCTAAAACCTTCCCAGTCTTATTTATACTTTTAATTGTTTACGTTGGCGAGATATCTTCCGCTAGCATTTCGGGCTTTTACAGGATGTTCTTTCTCAAAACGCCGCTAGGCCTTTCAAATCGCGTCGACGCATTCAATATTCTTTCATAAGGGCGGAAAATCGTATTTTTCTCCTTAGGTCAAATCAAACACCGCCGATGTGAAAAATACATCAGAAATGCGCCCTCGATCGCCGAATCTGATTTCATGTGATCATTATTAATTTTCCCATAAGCAGGTAGGACCACGTGATGTGGACCGCAGAACCATTCATCTGACTCGGATCTTGTTCAACTTGACAGAAAAAGCAACGACGTGGCGAGGTGAACACAATAGCACCTGCTGTATACGTAATCGACTAAGGCACTATTTCGCCTTAGCTTCTACAATCCTGGGATATGGCCGATTTTGGCCACACAACAAGATCACTTTCACCAGTCGACTACAATCACAGCGACTCGCGAGCGACGTCGCTCTTTTTCCCTGGAAATCTCAAGGAGGAGCACACAGACAACAAAAATATTAAAAACGGTGCGTGTGAAGACTGTTTAGACGATTCGTCGAAATCTAAGGTAATTTCAACGCAGGGAAACACTGCTTTAGAGCAGACAAAACTTAATTTCACCAGAGATTCAGAGAACTCCATGTTTCACGATTTCGCGACATCGACCACATTTTGGTCGCCACCCAACGTAGAGGATGTATTTGTACAGCCCGCAATTCCTCAGCCAGTCAACGGCATTCATTTGCCTTCTAACACTCCGGTTATAACGCAGCCAAGAAGAATAAATGGACCAACTAGTATGACAACAACAATGAACCATCAGCCCAGAAGACCAATGCCTCATAATTCACCGTTTATAACGCAAACCAAATCAATGCCGACTATTACAAGCCTCGGAGGATGGAATCAACAAACTCCGCAATCCATTTCAGGCTGGCCTTCACAACAACACAACTCATGGGGCAGTCGGCATTCAAACCATACATTGAACGCCATCAATTTCCCACATGGAAGGAGCTCTCGGCCGTCTTCTTTAACTCTTCCAAGCTCCTCGCGAATGAGAAATCACCGTCCAAACCATTCGTTTGCTCCTGTTTCTCGATCGGCTATCTCTACGCAAAGCATAACGCAGGGGTTACAAAGTTTGAGTCTCAATAGGCAGCCTGTGGACGGTACAATCTTGGATGATATTCCCAGCCTTGGAAATTCACATGGCCAAACCAGTGAGCTTTCAAACTCGCTATACTCTTATCAGGTAAAGTCAAAGAAACTGTTGAACAGCAAAAAAGCTTAACTTAGCGTTTATTTCGCGCGAGACTGTTGTACAAAAGAACAACTAAGCTGATATTTAAATCGCGATATTTTGGGTGATTCATCTTAAACCCAGTTTCCAAAATGAAGATTATTTGTTTGAACCGAAGTAACGAGAAACATAGCGCTAGTTAGTGATGGTCAAGCACAATTTTATTTCTCTATTTAAAGGGGCATGTCTGTTGAAAACCATTCAGTGTTTTGTTTCAAATCCGTAAGGAGGACGACAGTCAATATCAAATGATGAACGTGGATTCCCAACGATGTTTTCCCCCGTTCTTTCACCGATACCATACATAAATTAATGACGGAAAAAAATTGGCCAAGAGGTACAGCTGCTTCAAAATTACGGCTTAATAAAACTAGAAATTTAGGTAAATTTTTACAGCTTTGAATATCTTAGACTTTGATCGCTAATGGACCTTTTGTCTTCTTTTCTCCATTCAGGATTCAATGAAATTCCCGTCTTTGGAAACACGTTTACTCGATATAATTCGTTCCCCGTCGGATCCTCCAGATAACTTAAGCGGTTAGTATGATCTTTTATTACAACATGAAATGCTTTTCTGTGACGGCAAAAAGGAAATAAAGAAATAGAAAATTCAACAATCCATGTAGTAAAAGTAACTTTACCCTTGTAAATCCTTTGCTTTTCTTGCTGCTTCAATATTTCTAGTATTTTGGTTCCCGAAATCATGGTTGTATGCAAATATAGAGCGCTTTTTAAAAGATCTTTTAGCTCTAGACAGTTTCTAAGGGAAATTTTCCCATTTGAGAGTTATGCATTGTGTTGATATCGTGACAAATATCGAAAATTTTGAGATATAGTTCTTTTTTGTCGTATGTTTGCCTCTCCTTTGAAACTTTAATAGTTTGCAATGAAGTAAGGATTTGATGAAAAGTTTCATTCTCCGTGAATATCTCCCGCCCGGCACCTGCACTCTACGCCATGGTTCTTTAAATTTTTAATAAGTTTACCAAAATGGCTAGAACCAAGAATATTTGACTCGTTTTTAACATTGCTATCAGTGTTCGTCCTTTCCTTCTGTTGAAGATTTTCTTCAGTGAAACCTTCAAAACGGTGGCGCGTTTCAAAACTGAGGAAATTGAGGGATTGTTCATTGTCCAACAGTTTTTTTTGGCGGAGTGATGGATTGTTGTTTTGGCTAAAGAAAACCGCAAAAAAATGGCGGGTAAAATGCCGTGACGAAAATCTTCCAAAAGAAGGAATAGCAATACCTCCATTTAACAGAAAACCCTACAAAATAATTTGTATAATTCGGAAATACGCCTTTACTAAGGAACAATACATTAAGCTTGCTTCCTGTATGGTTGAATGTCTCAGGTGCTATGCCGGGAATGATGATGAAGTACCTCTATTAAACTGATAGAATTTTGAAGGAAGGAAACCATGAAATTACTCTTATGTTTTTTCTCTCAAAGTCACTTTTCTGACAGTCAAAATAAAAGTCCTTTTCGGGCGGTTCACGCCTCAACTTCGCGTCTTACTTCGCCCGAAAAAAACAAACAAACAAAAAAAATATATATATATATATTAGACAATCCCAGTCTCTAAAATGAACACCATTTCTAGAGACCACGAAATCTGTAGTATAAAGACTGTGTGCATCAAGCAACAAGATGAAAAATTGCAAATTTTGTAGGTCATAATCACCTTAGCTTTCTTCAGATCACAATGATTTTGATTACTGATCATAGCAAAATGACCTTCTCAATCTTTGCCTTCCCAGCGCGATGTTTACAGGCATCGCAAAACTTTTCTTCCTATAGCGAGCGAAAAATATGCCTAGACGGGTCGTGTCGTTACCTCGAGGAACCATTTGTCGAGAAAAGTCAATGTTCAGATTTGCGCAATTCAGATTTCTTGAGTTGGTGTGCTTCTCAAGCTTCGTACAATATAGGGAGAGTTCTATTTATCGTGAAAAATCAGTTGGCGCCTTATCGTATTCGTTAGATTATCGGCCTTGTAGTTATCAACACAGAGAGAGCAGAAATGGTCTTTCTTTGGGGATGAGGAAGAAACGTTTGTATATTTACCATTCCTAGGAAAAAAAAGCAATAGAACAATATCACTCAGTGCACAGATAACATTTTAGAAGCGGTTTCCAAAAGAGTTGACACAACATGTCCATGCAGTTTTCTTGATAAAGTGCTTCGGTACAAAAGTCAAAAGACTGCATTTGACCACGAAACATATCTCATCTCTTTTACAAGGATAAACTTAATTTGATTTGTATTCAGTCTCGCTCAAGTCTGACTATTCCATTTCCTAGCTAGGCCAGCAGCTGAACTCGCCGAGTAAGGGATATTTTTATAAAAAGGAAAGGAAAATCAAAAAAATAACCACTTGATTATGTCGACGAAACGGGGCGAAAACGTACAATTCATTTTTAACAAATGAAAAAATTGCTTTCATTTGAAGAACTAAGAAAGAATAAGGTCAACAGAGGAAGCATTCGCAACCAACGCCAACGCAATTTCATCCGAGTGGAACAAATAGAGCCAGCAATTATATATTTCTTTCGTATTGCAATCTTTCTTTAAAGCTAGAAAGCCCGAGAAGGAGACAAGACTATTAAACTGGGTTCCAACATTGAAATTCAGGCTATCTAATGATTAAAACAGGGAGCGAGTTTTTGAGGAAAACAAACAACAAAGAAACCATGCAGATTTTAGAGCTGATTTGTCATATTTCACTGGGTTACGCCAAGCCTTTTCAATTGCTAGGAGAATTATTTTGGCAGTATGTTTCCTCCCTTTAAAACTAAAGCCAACGAAACTTACGCCTAAAAAAGGAAAGATATATCAGTGAAAAAAATCGAAAATGTTAGACTCGGTTACTGAGTTACATCTGCTCATTGAAACGTTTTAGAAGAGAGCGAGCAAAGAGGAAGGAAAAAACAGCAAGGCTTGGCGACAAATTTGTCAGAGATGAAAGTAGTTGGTTTAGTAATTCATAGTCGTGTGTGCCAGTCTTGTTTGCGTGTTCCTCGCAGTTTTGGCTTCTTGTAGGAGATGAAAAGGTTCAAGTTTTTTCCGTTGTTCCTAGATAAAAATTACATCACTGGATATTGATGTACTGAAGTTGACCAACGAGAGAACGAACTCGATCATTCGATTCCTCTAGGGAACTGATCTTTTGAGTCAAAATAAATATTCAATTCGCAAACTTAAACGTCCTATGAGAGAACCGAAGAGAAACTCAAGCCTCCTGTAAAGCTGCTATACATAAAGATACAAATGAGCGAACAAATTTAAATAATGGAACAGTTTTAACATAAGTTATATTTTATTCAAAATTCACTCCGTTGTGAGGCGTATTTTCTCGACAGGATATTTTCCTTCAATAGTTATTAATATTTCCCTGCTTGTGTTTTGCGAAAGGGCCTTTTATTTTAGCCCACAAGCTGAGTTTGGAGGGGAGCATCAGCAACAGCTGTATGCATTTTCCACGAAAACATGTCAAAACTGATGTTTTATGTTGATTAAAAATTGAGTTAAAATTTCTCTTTCTGGTTGGTCGAAAGAGAAATAGGACGAGGGTTCGGCGGCAAAGGAAGCGCAGTTGACGAGGCTGTCAATCAACTTCTTTCAAGAAAATGGCAAAATATTTTAGAGACATTGTTTTGCGGAAAACACTAATGAGGTTTGCTCGAAGAATATCCTGAGAAACCACTTAATTTCAGCACGTGAGACGATCCGAGTAAATTTCAGGAGAAATTTGCTTGGCTTGTTACTGAAATCCACAATATTTAAATGTTCATTTGTACTGAAAACTGGGAATCGGTGCGTTGTTTTTTCCATTCGGTCAGCGTGATAGCACTGACTAATGTAAATTTATCTCAACAATTAGTCTAGAATCCCAATTGAGTCGATAAAAGCGCTGGCCTGCAAACGCTTTCCTGAATATTCAGATAGGTAAGTCTGCCTTGCATTAGTTAGCATTTTTCTTAAGACAATCATTTAAATTTTCATTGGGACAAAACCACCTTTTCAATGTGTCCATTTAAGATCCAACAGAGCTGTGAATTTTCAATTTAGTGGTTTTTTTTTTTCGTTTGGCCGGGAGATATCTGAATAGTCTCCATAAATTTGTCTCAGACTGCATTCTCCTCATAATCAGCGATGCATTGTTGCAAAAATATTTTCTCAACCATTAAAACTGGGCATTGCCCGACAATTTCAAAGTGTAGGTCTGTTATTAAAAAAGAGAGAATTTAAAAGGTCGTCTAAATATCCCACGATTAAAAAAGATATAGTTGTTGTTGATCATTGTCCGCTTACTCTGTCCAGCCTGGTTTGTAATTAATTTCACGTATATAGTCCACTATAAGAAACGAGGCTCAATATGTTTTTTTGGTGTTTTCTTAAAATTTGTTATTCAAATAAACTACCTTTAGTCATAACATTTATTTTTTCGGAGTTATGGAGTAATTTCTCAGCTAGAGTATTCCACATAAAAACAAAACAAATTCAAATGATTTACATTCGACAAGCGTAAGGAAAATACGAGTGATTGTTGCTGGTATTTTAGAATCATCCTACTGATGCCATCTATGATCAAATGCAAGGAAAAGTAGTATTGATGGACATGCACAGACTTCGCAAAAACCATTTAGTTTATATGCATGTACAGTTCCTTTTTCCTCTTATGTCTTATTCGGATCGCTTGTTACAGAAAGAACTTCAGAGATGTTTCAAAGAAATGTTACTCATTGGAATTTCCAGCCAAAGGAAAAAATTAAGAATGCGAACTTTCTAAGAAATACGTAATCTTTGCGAAGACTTGCGTTTTCCACACAGTCTGACATTAAATTTGCATGATTTATGAGTCCCAAATGCACTTTCACTACGTTTCACTGTTTAGCTCATCAAATGAATGTTAACTTACCGGTATTAAAAAGATTTTCACCTAATTACAATGGAAAATGCCATAGAAACTGTAGTTGACTTTCAATCTAAAGTGCAAAGAGGAAGCAAAATTGTCGTATGAAAAAAATATATCGTTAGAAAACTGTGAAAAACTATTAATAATTATTATAAAAGCCAAAGAAGTGGGCAGCTTAAAATGTCGACGTTTTTTACGTCGTATTTTACCGCAACAGGAAAAGAAAGTAAACTGAATTAATGCCAAGAAATGGTGGATCATTCTCGACAGTTGCACTCTGTGACTGGCTTCCCATTGTACCGCGTAAAATATATCGATACCTTCCAAAATCTGTAAAAGCAATAGCGAGAAATGTATCCTTGAAAGCTTCAAAATGCTTTCACAGGTTTAAATTCAGTTCAATCGTAAACTAAAAGAAAGTAAATCAGTTGGAAAGTACATTTGTCAGCACGCTGTGAAATGTCGCTCATTAAGCATTGAATATTAGTTTTAATAAGGAAATGAAGTTTCCTGCAAAAGCCTTTATTTTTTTTAGGAAGGAAATCCTTGTGATGAATACAAGGCTCATCAAATTCGAGGCTGTGTTGGTGAAAAAAGTCATGAAACTTATTCAGCGACGACAAAAGGCTTATAAAGCGCTGTCAAATCATACGAATAGATAAAAACCAAGACATAACATCCTATTGTGTTTAGGCTACGGTTTAAAAAATATACATATTATGCGCAGTTTTTTTTTCAATAATTGTGAACTAGGATTGAAAAGAACCACTCAAAATGCGACTTTAAAATCATGGCAATCGGAATAACACAGCACTCATTTACTACAGTTGAAGTGAAACTTTGAAAATTGGACAGTCCTTTTTTGAGATCACAACAATATTTTTCATTTTCAACCTTTTAAAGCGTAGGCTTTGCGGGAGATGGACCACAGCCGTTAACTAATTAAACGAACCGCCTATATACATCAAGATAGTGAGTGCGCCGGCGTTATGTTCTTTCAGCCTTAACCCATCGTGAAGTTTGGGAACCTGAAAACCGGATTAGAACTAGATGGAAGTTTATTAGCTTTGTGCATCACTAATTTACAAAAAAAACTACTGTGAAATAATCACTTTGAGATGGACAATCTCAAGAGGTTTCATTATAATAAAGATATAACAGGTGATGTTTGGGCCTGTTGCAAATCAAAAAAAAAAAAAAACAACACACACACACCAGGGATGAAGGGTGTGACAATATATCAGGAACACGCGCTGGGTGAAGCCATGTAGGATATTTTTGGATAGAATTCTAACCTATCTNAAAAAAAAAAAAAAAAAAAGAGAAAAATTTTGAGTAATTTCAATGTTTGGTCCAGGTCTCAAAATTAAGATCTTTATCGTCTCCATATTCTGCGAAAATAAAACAAGGATGTTTCTTCATCTTACGACCACGTAATTAAAAATTTGTAAAATTAGAATTTAGTGCAACAGACAACTGCTTCCTTCAGAGGATTTCGAATCCCTGATCATAAATCACATGAATTCGAGATAATTTTGTCGGGAGAGTTTACTTCCAGACAGAGCAGAAAAATACATAGCTTTATCTTTCTGTTTATAACAGTAAAAGGCAATACTTTTAGAAACGAAAACCTTCAAAATTAATTTCTACTATGATAAAGAGAGCAGAAGAGAACAAAGACAAATTAACATAATTTTTTCTTGATCCGAGCTCATAGCAAATGTATTCATTTTTGTCAAAGACGCAATTTGTTTAAGCGTAATTCTTTAAGCGTGTTTTTATAATCGCTATCCAATAAAAAAAAACCTTTATTTGTATGGTAGTCGATAAAAGTTTTGCATTTTCTTTCTACTCGTTTGGCGTTAACCAAAGTGACACGTCTAATGGCGAAACTTTGGTTGTCGTCAGTGCATGAATCTAGTGAATACAAAGATCTTTGAATTACTCAGAGACTCGGCTGCCTTCCTCAAGCGAGTTCCATATTTTTCGTTAAACCTAACAGCAAACATATACTTAGAAATCATACCCAATCCTAGATACAAATTTGCTAAACTATCTGTTCTAACCATGGTGACAAAAATATCAATCATGCTTTAAAGTTAGCGATTTTTTTATTATTTTTCTGCTCCCGTAAACGAATCAAAATCCGTCCTTCGGCAAATTAATTACAGCGTTGGGGCCATGGGAATGAACAACCAAGACACTTAGGAAAAATAACTTATTAGCCTTAGACAAGGGAATTGACATTTATTTCATCTCTATTTTCAGCGTTCAAATATCACCTACAGAAGAAAGGACTCTCCCACGCAGGAGGTAAATAAATTGCTTATTTTATTTTTAACAGCACGAAGATGCAAATAAAATGCCATTGATTGCCTTCAGGCTGGAAAAAGAAAAATTACACAGGTTACTAGAATAAAAATATGATACGTCTTATGAAGACTTTGTGAAAATAAAACTTCCAGGAAATTGCCGGAAGACAGCTCGTATCGTAATCTATAAACTTAACAGGCTTTTGCTAAATGATGTTCTCACAGAAACACAGCCATCGAGACCCAACGGCTACATTTTTCATGAAACCTGATAACGAAGCAATTTTTAAGCGAGGGTGATAACGTGTTTCAAGTGAAATTTACGTGTTGTTTTCAAAAGAGGAAATATTATAATTCGCTTGTGTGTGGTATCTTTATCTCGAGAGCGTAGGAACAACTGCACTACCGTTAGCCAATGGGAATGCTAGAATACTTGTGGTACAAGAGCCCATGTTATGGCAAGTTTGATTGGTTGATTAAAAATAGACAAATTGGACGAAATAAGGGAGAACAACAACCGCTTTCGCTGGACACTTTTGGGAACAGAGAATTAGAATTTTTTTTTCACTCTTCTTCTAAAAACGACCAATAACTTGTTAGCATTCAGGTGGGCATTGCGGCCTGCGTGTTGCTGTATCAGTACAAAAAAGCACAATACTGCTTTCATTGCCAAACTTGGCTTCGTATCTCCCTTTATGGTTCAAAGCCCTTGAGTTACTTAAGTCACCGTATTTGTATGTTTGTTTAAAACCAAAAGCTCTGTTTTCCTACAAAAGCTGTCCTTATTCCGAAATTGGAAACCCTCAAATTTGAAAGAAAGTGAAACCGATAGCAACACAATTTTCGGTTAACTTTAGCAACAAAAAATATTTTTTCGCAATGTTAAGGTTTATCTTCCTTCCTTCGGGGAATTAGAGGTCCAAAGGTGTCATTTAATGCCTACCTTACTCACAGAATAGCAACTGAACAAGTTTCCTTCCTTTATTAATCTTTTAGCTGACAACTAAAAATATCAACCAAGGCGGAAAAAGCGGCCATAAAATTAATTTCAAAATGACTGGCCAGTTTCTAAGAATAACAGAGCGAATCAGAGGGAATCGAGAAAATTCCTTGCCACGTTATCGCCAAGAGAGGAGAAACATTTGAATTTTGCATTTTTCAGTTTCCTTCCTTTTCTGATAATTTAAGTGTTACACCGTTCCGCTATAGGTAAAAACCTGACTGCTATTTCCAAAGTCATATTTCAACAACTGACACAAAGGCTGCCTGGCGTCAACTATATGCTTTGTGTGTTCAGTTCCGCATATGCACGGCCAAGAACATTTATAGTTTCCCTACCAAGTTTCATACAGTAGACTTGATACCATAGAAAGCACCTTGGCTCCATAATTTCCAACGAGTTTTTTTTTTTTTTTATCGTCAACAGATCAAATTGTGCCATCGATATGGTCACTAAACTGCTCTCCCACATCAGACCTACCTGACCACATTGAGCGTTATTCCAGAAAAGTGTTTGTTGGAGGGCTTCCCCCGGACATTGATGAAGGTACGGTAGCCAAAAGAGTCTTGATAATAGCACCTTATAAGGGTGAACGGCCAGCTTACCGCAGAGAGGACTGCACCGGGAGGCCTGGGTACCAGTGCCAGACTAGTTAACATTTGAATTCTTGTAAGCTTTCCAATATTTTAATGATCCATACTTTGTATTTCATGGACCTTGTTGGAAGTATTCGCCGTCGCTGCTCTATATTGATATAAACTCTTCCCTACAGTCACTAACTGTAATGTTCTTTTAGATGAGATTCACGCCAGTTTCTGTCGGTTTGGGAGCTTAACTGTGGACTGGCCACACAAAGCTGAAAGCAAGTCATACTTCCCTCCTAAAGGTAAGAACACTGAACAACATACTGCAACGTCTCTATCATACCTTCTCCATGTCTGCCTGTTCAGAACTACCTCGCTCAATCGACTCTATTCTCAAGGATGTTATGGAAATATGATTGTGCAAGAAATANCAGCGCAGGATTTGATTCATCTTGCCCGCTCGCGGAGCTAGCCATATAATAAATAGCAATTATTGCAGTTACTATTTGACATACAACCGAGGCGAAGAGGTCAATACACCAATTTATGTATTAAAATTCAGCCTAACACAATAGACCTCAGCACGAGGCTCTGGGAATAAAGCCCACAAACTCTGTAGTTATTCCTCGGAGCCTCGAGGTCTATTGTTTTAGGCTGAATTTTAATATATCGAAATTGGTCTATTGACCCTTTCGCCTCGCTTGTATGCCTTTTGAAACGAAAGAGTATTTGACCGGAAGACTCAACTGCGATAACAGCTATTGTAAAAAGTATTGCTATAGGGTTAGGTAAATCAATCAACGTTATAAATTTTTAAAATTAGATGACACCTTTGCTGTGACGATTTTCTGGCGCTAATTGATTACCTTGTCATAGTGCTAACAACAAACAAGTCATCATCACCTTGTGCTTTGGCTCTTAACATTTTAAAGTTTTTCATATTGGTTAAGTAGCTGGTCGCTCAATTGTCAGTCAACGGTTTGGATTTTTCCACAGGCTATGCCTTTCTGTTGTACTTGGAGGAACAATCAGTGCAGAAGCTTATCGACGCCTGTTTTCAGCAAGATGACAAGTTATACCTTTGCGTGTCTAGCCCTACTATTAAAGACAAACCCGTAAGTCTTTTTAGTTTGCTTTCTTTACTGAGCTTGATACTCCATCGGGCAGAATGGCCGCACATCTTTACCTATTTAGGTGGACCGAAGCGAATGCAATTTGAATAGCCAAGAACAGGAAAGAAAACGCCCCAATTTGCAAGCTAAGCATTGACAGAACTCTGTTTTCTAACTTTCTCGTGCCCTACCTAATGCTTTGAAAAACGGGATTTGCAAGAGAGATGGGAGAGGAAATCATTCTTTTGCGCTCACAAATTATGAACAAACTGATTTTTAAGTTGTGAAAATTACTAACAATGGTTTTGAAAGAACGTCCGCAAACAATTGTGCCAAGTTCTTAACTCTATAGCTGATCGATAACATTCAATCAGGAACTAAACAACAGCTACTGTGGTATAGCCACGCGATCAGCCATGACTCACACAACACTCAAATATAAAAGCACTTAAAACTTAAGTATTGGAAATAGATTGAGGTCCCCTGCAAATCGTGAATGAACTAGTTAAGTACTCCAATGTGAACAGGAAGTTTTGCATGCGAAGTTGATCATTCTCGTTACTTTCCAAAATCCAGGTTCAGATCAGGCCTTGGAATCTGAATGATTCAGATTTCGTAATGGATGGTTCTCATCCTTTGGATCCAAGGAAGACGATATTTGTAGGTGGAGTGCCACGCCCATTGAGGGCAATAGAGCTCGCCATGATTATGGACCGGCTATACGGAGGCGTGTGTTACGCTGGAATAGATGTGGATCCTGAACTGAAATACCCCAAAGGTGATAAAAAAAACTGCAGAAATACTATTTCAACCTGAACTTATTTAGAAAATGCGGTCAATGAACGCAGCGAAAGTGTGTACAAAGGAAAGGAAATAAAGATTGTGATGTAAAAGTTCATGTTTATAGTGCTTACAGTAGAGGTAACAAAGACAACCACTGCGCCACGTAATTTCAGCAGATTAAAAAACATAATTTCTTCGGGGAGAAACAAGTTACAAGTTATAAACGATTTGATGTGTAACGTGTACTGTGCAGTCTTTGGCATAATACGAATTGTGTTTCATTCAAGGTGCTGGTCGAGTGGCCTTCTCCAACCAACAAAGTTACATCGCTGCAATCAGCGCTAGATTTGTGCAGCTCCAACACGGGGACATTGATAAAAGAGTAAGTCACTGACATCTTATATAACACAGATTTACAGCTTGCAATTTAATCACCAATCCTTTAAACATCTCCAAGTTAACTGTAAAGAGCCATTTTTTTTCTTGATCAATTTGAGCAATGTCCTAAAATATGCTTAAACTTGCAGATGCATTTCAACCACCTATAGTAACTTGTGTTTATTTATAACATAGTTTTCTGCGGCTTTCCAGGTTGAAGTGAAGCCATACGTTTTGGACGACCAGCTATGCGATGAATGTCACGGCGCACGGTGTGCTGGGAAATTCGCGCCATTTTTCTGCGCAAACGTGACCTGTCTGCAGTACTACTGTGAACAGTGCTGGGCTATCATACATTCCAGACAAGGGCGGGAATTTCACAAGCCGCTGGTCAAAGAAGGTGCGGACAGACCAAGAACTGTCCCATTCAGATGGTAAAGAAAAGCACAAAATACAATCCTTTGTCTTGAAAAGCATTTTACTGTGCAAGCAATTGCTATGGCGATTATTTGATCAGAAATGGCGTGTTAAAAGAAAACAGAAATTTTACTTTCCTTGTCTTAATCAACTGAGACAAGAAATAGGTTACCTTGTCCTCATCTTTCATTTCTTTTCCCTTCATTCAATTGCTGTGTATGTTTTAAATTGCTAGAACAAATAACACTGTCATTCTGGTTCAAATAATGTCACGGGAAAGTATTATATTGGTTGGAAAGTAGTAACTTATTTTAGTTAAAATGATCGTGGGGCTAAGGCAGAATTATCCGCTAAATTATAATGTTAATGTGTTAGTGTCATGATTTCTGAAAAAATATCATTATGATAGATCTCAGTAGGAGTTCACTTTACTTGATTACATTGTATAATGGCTTCAGAGGGAAGGGGGATATAGATGGTAATGTCTGTAAAGCGCTGAAGGATGAAGATACGTATTATTTGTAAATGGAGAACTTTTTAAAGCATTTTTAAGCAGGCGAGAGGATTCATTCCGACTGGTGATCGGCACTTTTATCAAGTACCAAAGTTTAATTGTTTAGTAGACAAGGAAATTGCATACTTAAACGAGTAGAGTTATTTATTGAGGAATTTTGCCTACAGGAAATTTAATATATAGAAATGCTGTTTATATTATTACTAGAATTGTACATACTAGCTGACAAGAAAAGTTAAATTTCGGCAAACAAGTAAAGATACGTTATAAATCAAAGCAAAGATTACGTGTGAGAATGGTACAAGAAGAGGGCTTCTCTCTGAAGTTTAATTTTATAGAATGCATAATTGTTTATAGCTGAGTGAGACGGCTACCATTGTTGAAGCAGCAAAGAAATATAGGACTGAAAGTTACCATAACTCAAAGCTTCAAACAACAAAAACTATGACTTAAAGCGTAACGAAAAGGGAACATGACAGAAAAATCTGCAGTGTTACAGACACCCTTAAATTAGAGTATAAAATGTAACAAACTGCATTGAAAATCCTAGACAGAAAGATCAAGATTTTTAGGGCTTGGAATAAATTCCATATTGTACATTTTTTTTCTCACGTTGTTTTAAACAACATCATGAGATATGTAAGAAATGAATTATTATTGGTTTTTCAAACCATGCTATCAATGTTGGCTTCTAAATGCTACAGTGATATATAGAAGAAGAGACCAAATCATTCTACTTTACTTTATGAGGATAAAACTATTACCTTATATCTTTTGTTCAAAAGGCCAGAACTTTTTATAGATTTTATATTTACTTCAGATAATATATGACATGAGTTTAATTTTGGAAATATTTAGTTTTAGAGAGATGGATAATCTGTTTGTGGAATATGAATTTGTACAATTTGGGAGTTACTTGTTTGCGTGGCAGATAAATTTCTCATGAAAAACACGTTTGTATTCGTTAAACTTTAAGCCAGAAAATCAGTTTTGTAATTTGTACGATGGAAAGAAAACCAAAATAACCTCCTTTTGAAATACGCTGTTGAATATTGCTGTGACGTTAAAGATGCAGTCAGTGAAAATCAAGTGCTTCGAAAGAGGAAGAAAACGTTTAGTGAAGAGATAAACAGGAAAACGAAAAAGGAATTGTAGGAGGATTTCAATTTCATACCATTTTAGCCATAAACAACTTCCATCAATTAAAATCACTCTGAACAAAAAGCATATCGTATGCTTTAAATTGCTTTGTTTGTTACTACATGTACTTTTGTTGTGTATATAACAGATTATTTGCATAAGATTTGTAAAGTTCTCAAACAATTTCTGCAACAATGTTTGGTTCGAGGAAACGACTTTTTACACTTTGAAGGTTCATAACGTGGTCAGAAAATTAGAGTAACGTATAGCTCTGTTTAAAAAGCCCTTTATTTTTGGAGACGAAAATCATGAATGTTTGAATCAAGGTCTAGTTAAAAGTTTTCACAATGATTTGATATCAGTTTTTGAGAATTTCCATTTTTGTAATATTGCTGGCAAACCACTCACGTTTACACTGTTGAAAAGTTATCTGCCACGCAAACATGAACTTTGAATCGTAACATGTATTGCCTTGCACGTTACAAATTATTTCAACTCGTACAAATGTATGATAATATTTTTTTCGCTATATTTATGTTTTAAGGGTGGTCACAGAATAACTTTCGTAATTTATTTGCTCTTGACTCAGTGAGGACATGTTCAGGGAAATTTGATAATGCGTCGATACAGGAGTATAAACTACAACCAAATGTCCACTGACAGACAGTGTCATTTTTAGGATTGAAATTGTTAACTATCTGTCCATTATAACATCAAAAAACAAAAAACAAAAAAAGTACAAATTAATGGTTTGCTTACAACTTATACCTCCTAACTCCAGAGTTTATTCTGTAATATTATTGTATTCCACATGTAACCGACATATGGAGAGTTATTTATAAATCAGCACACTTTGTAAATGTCAGTTTCTTTCTACTGAGGGGTATGCATGTAATTGTTACAAAGAACGGGCTAAAATATATCTTTTTAATAAAAAAAAACGTAAGTCGTTTCAAAGGAAAGCGTTGGGCAGGATGGAGCATTATTTTTGCCTTCAATATAGCATTATTTTCTTGTATCTTTGTATTGATTCAATTTGTTTTAGAGTTTCGTTTTGTTAGCCAGGTTGTCGATAGCCACCCTAACAATCGACAAATAGGGTTTGGTGATAAACACACTCCAAACCAGCATCATAACCAACCCACAGTAAAATTTCCTCCCTTAAATGTTCATAATGTAACACGTTTTAAACTAGACTTCAGACTTCAGACTAGTAAACAAAGTTACATTTAGCAATTCCAAGTTTGTGTGCAAATTTCGAAGTTGCCTCAGTCAATCATCCCTCAGGAGCCCAGAAACCGCAGCTATGCTGCCCCAGTAGGGTACTTTACCCTATACTACAGTGCGACCAATGATCAAGACATTTCATCTGATTGCTACGAATAAGCTATGCTTCAAAACTTGCACACGTGACTTGTCAATCAGATGTTAAACTGGTTCTAAACTTAAATATTTAATACATTTTATTTTTCATGCTATATCACTTGGTTACTTTCTACTGCAACGATACGCCACCAGGTACCGCTAAAGAGTGCAGTTGTTAAATTTCAAACAATTTCATATTTAACAAGATTTTCTTTAACTTGTGACGCCTAAAAAGAAGCGAATAACTTTTAAACTTTTAAATGTTACGCTAGCGAGCAAGCATTGTGATGTATTTGAATTCAAAATCGTAGAAAACCTAACTTTGATAATTTGCTACGGCAGAAAGCACCTAAAGAGCCTTCAAAGTTCTTCCCCTCAGAGTGCGCATGCTCATTTCAACCTCGTTTTCAACTAAATGGCTATAATACTTTCTCCATGTAAGTAAATACTTTCATAACTTAAGTATATAAAAGGAAAAATACTTGACGATATAGAATTGACTACAGTAGCAAGTCTTAAAAAGGTTTTTAGAAACTAATTTTCCCAAACAATACGAGTACACTGTTAAGAAAGAATTCTTTATTTTCATATGGTTTTGCCAGTTTCCAATGATTTGTTTGGGTTCGCATTAAGCATCTCGTGCTTTGAATGAACGAAGAAATTCTTATCTCCCAGGGAGAAAAAGAACACGAATCTTTGGAACAGGCTAAAAAGGATTTTTGTTCACTTTTTTACAACTATTTTTCTTAGTTTAAGTATAAACACGTTTCACTGATTTTGTTTTTAAATTTTGCATATTTTAATAACATTTGGAAGTAACCATTTTATGTATCATGAAATACAGAACATAACATCACAAATACATTTATCGGTATTTATCACTAAAGCGCAATTTTAAAAAACTCATATTACGATGCATGCTGGTTTTATAACTGATGGTATTTTCAAAGCATATTTTGACCTCTGCAGTGTAGATCTTACAGGATTAATAATTATTTTAAGATCTCTTTAATTTTGTATTCAGACATTTGTAGCATGTATTAAAGAATTCTTTGTCCCAGGTATCTGTAAATGTATAATTCTGCTACCGTGGCATAAAGTAAATTTTTATAATTGAATATTTTGGTTATATATGGTTAATAGTGGAATATGATCTTGATAATTGCTAGTAGGCTGGAGTCTCTTTTGGCTCACAGTATCTACTTTTTTAGTATTTAGAGCATTTACGTGTTGCAAGTGTTGACACTGTTTGCTTAATCTATAAAAGTTCAAATAAACTAACTCTTGTTTGTGTTTAATGCTAGTCTTTTCTATGTCGCGTAATCCTGAAGCGATATTTAACTCTTTAGTCTAAATATAAATGATAAAAACAGTCGCTCAGTCTAAATATAATAGAACTACCTTCTCTATGAAGTATAAAAATTACGAAAAATGTAAACATTTAAACAACGGAATTAATAAGCCAGCTGTTGAACAAATGAGATACCGCAAAGATACTAAAAGATCAATAGCCGTCCTTTCCACCTCATCATAAAGACTGATACGTTTTAAACTAATATTCCTTCTTCATTACAGTCTCTTCAAGGCGTTCAGTTAGTTGAGGCGCAGCGCGAGAAAACGGCGAAGTGAAAAAAGGAGAGAGGCTTGGTGCAGCGCGATTCTCCCCTAATTTTTCGCTCTGCGTCCCGACTAACTGAACGCCAGGAAGAGGCTCTCTTCAAAACCGAAAAACATCATTGAGATCAGTGACCACAAATATTTCTTCCAGCCTTCAAAAGTATCATATAGTTCCAATTTTCCCTGATTTTTCTTCAAAATGTCAATTTACCTTGACTCTAATAAAATTTCTTGACTTTTCCCTGACTTTTTAAGACCTTATTTCCCTGACCATTTCCTGACCTGTGGCAAACCTGTCGAAAACAGTGCTCTATTCGATAGCTTTAACAAGGTTTATACTGCAAACAAGCATGGAACACCAGGACAGCAGCAGAAAATTACACTTTATCAACACAACGTGGAAAAGTTCTTTGCAATCTATTTTATTTGAGATTTTTTTTCTAACTGAACTGACCCTGATCGAAAGGTTCTGCAAAAATTTTGGACGCACCCTGTGGGCATGGAGTTTCCAAACATTCCACCTCTAGATTGGTTTAACAAAAGATACGGCAAGCCGTCGTAATACACTGTCTGTAAACTGGATTAAGGACAAGGATAAACAACGTGACTTAAGTATCCTTTAAGTTGTTTCAAGCAATCCTGATACGTCTGAATGAAAATATATTGGATTTTAGCGGGTAGTTTCACTGTCTCTGTCCCTATCTATACTCTAGTCAGTCCTTCAGACTACAGTGAGTAACAAATGTTTCAGAAGTACAAGAACTGAGTTTAGAGTACCTTAAATGTGAACTCAAAAATATAAAAACAAGCGCACTTCACGGCTGTAGGATCATGTTGTGTGTGTAGGAGGTGTCTATACTTGGATTTATGATATTGAGCTGTGTGCTTGTGACGAGAGATCACTTGACAGAGAAGGATTACTGAAAGGAAGGGAACGGAAATCGGCCAGTTCTATAAGATGTAAGGAAGAAGCCTGGATTCCACCACGAGCATCACGATCTCAAGATCATTTCTCTTTGTTCGGTGCTGCGCAAAACTTTTCAGGTTTACTCAGCCTTTAGAGGTTTCACAGGTCACTTTGTTTGATATTTCCAGCATGAGCAATCGAGTTGTTTATGACAGTACCTGCTTGTGATCAACTTCAGTTTCTTCCTGTGCAGTGCACTGATTGTCACGTGTTCCAAGGTACAGATGTACATCATGAGAATATTTACAATCATCGCCATAATCACACTTGCCACTTTTAAATCTCTTGCAAGGAAATTGTTTGTAGTAATTTTTGTCTTCTTCCTCTGCTTTCCGACCTTGTAAACGTTGCCTCTTTTCCTCAACTGTCTCACTGTCTTTCTTTCTTTTTGCCCTAAAATTCAAAACACCAACAACTTATCACTGTATAACCATTGCCAAGGGGTCAAGGCACAAAAAAATCCAAACTTGTCCTTTCCAACTTTGAAAAATACTTCTTACTTGAATTATTGATTTAAATTAATCATCTGCTGAAATTACTCGCCTTGATGATCAACAACGCTCAAGTGAGGGCAACTTATTACAAACAAACACAGCTAAGGGTAACTGCAGTAAGGAAAGCAACAGGACAACTAAAGATAACATACCACATACTTGAGTGCATCCGATATCAAGCTGCAAAAATTTGGAATTCGCTCCCAGACAGTATGAGAACATAACGTCATTTAAAGATTTTCAGACAGTCATAACGAAAATGAACTTTTAGAAGTAGTTATAATTATTGTATTAGCAGTAGTTTTAATTATTGTATTTTAATAATTTATTTGATTTATGTATTTTTATTTTATTTTATTCTTTCTCGAAGACATTAACTCAATAGAGCTACTCTGATAATTCGAGTTGAAATAAAGTGTATGTATGTATGTATGTACCTAGTAACTACTAAACACTAACTAACAACAATGACGTGGAAAATGTTTTTGCACTTAATTGTAGCAAGGAACTAAATATAACTAGGCAGTACAGTCAAGAGCATAGTCCTATTACACCACTGAGAATAACTATTCTTAACACTATTGTACAGTAAGTTGAATTATTCTCGCATTTTGATTGGATCGACTGACGCCTTGAAGACGTTTTTAACTTTTTTTTGCTTCCTCGTTGTGAAAAAAAAACAAATAGTTTCCATGGTGCTGTATGTCTGTTCAGTAATTGATCACAGATGACGTCAATATGTGCCACTTTTCTCGATCAATTACTGAAAAGACGCACAGCAACAAGGAATCTATTTACAAGAGAATAAATGTCTTCATATGGAATCCATTTGTTAAAAATACTGCACTATAAACCTGTACTACACCTTGGTTTAGGTCCCCAGTTGGCTTCAGGATTTTCTTGGTACCTGAGAAGTTTTTTCTGTCTTGAAGCCGGGTTTGCTCCTGATTTGGCTTCAAAAGACACCTGAATAACAGGTTCTTTGCTGAGAATTGCTGTACCCGGTGAATTTACATTCTTTCTCTTCACTGGGTGAAGTTTTTCCCAGCATCTCATGATGTCCCATACAACTAATGAATGAAATAAATAAAACAAATTATTGAGGAATGCAGAGTCTCTTTAACCAATTGAACGTAATGTAATTGATTACAGTCTGATGTATTTTTGGTGGTGTATCACATGAGCTTGCTTGAGCCATGATTCAAATTTTTGGGAGACACAGTACCCATGACAACCAAATGAGCCTGATATGCTGCAGATGCATATCAAAATAGTTACGATTTGGTATTTATCATACCCAGATTTGGCCAAACAACTAGCAATATCGAGGCAGTGATTTGAGTTTGCAGGAAATCAGGATAGTAGACAGCGCTTTTGACTGGTAAGCAGAAAATTTGGGTAAGGAACTGTGCAGTAGTGAACAAATGACAGGAACCAGCTCAGAACAAACACATACATAGAAAACATACACCAGAATAATTTCTTTCCAGTCATGTCCATGTGCGTGTGAAGTTAGACACTGAACATTACAAAGTTACAAGTTGTAGCAATTGAGTACAATCCATTTGATGCATGGAAATCAAACTTCACAATAATATTACCATTATGAGGAGCATCAGTTTTGAGTGCTTGTTTACAAGCATGTGAGCTGGATGCTCTGTAGCCAGCTTCTATGACTGCAGATCTGATCTGCACCAGAGAGGGTGTGTTACAATGAAGTACTCCACACAGGTGGTCCACAGAGTAGTACAGTGGACAGTCTGCCAGCTCCTCTTGAATGACACTCAATAATCCTATAGAAAACAAAACAAAACAAAGACAAAGTTACAAGAATTGAGATAATTTGACAGAAATGAAAAGTATCAAAATAAAAAGTTGGCAGAAATCAGTTTTCAAGAACATTTGTCCAAAAGCTTGGAAAGGTGTTAATCACTAATTTGAACTGAAGCAAAGAGCATTTTAATGACTCGAGTTAATGTAAAACTGTTAATGAGTTAAGCAGCTTTGGGGCAAAACAATCCCTTGCTCAGTCTCTCAATAAAAGAATCTAATTTGTCATTTAAAGAAATTTAGATCAGGTCAACATACTCAATTCAACACAGCTGAGTATATCAAGTGAACTTTTGGAGCTGATGTCATTCCTTGAGGTAGAATAGTGGTTTTCGGGGAAAATCAGTAGAGAAAGTGATCTATGAAAAGAAAAGAGGGGGTCACTGGCCATTTAAGGAAGTAAATTGCACACAAGGTTAGCAAACTGGTGTAGAGCCCTATACTTGCATATTTCTTCCTTAGCGTGTCAAGCAAGCGTGTCTGATATGGTTTGACTTTGCAACATAAATTAAGTGTAAGGATGCGAAGTAAACTTTTGTACATCTACAAAATATGTAATTGAACAACTGGCAAGTATAACCACTTTAGGAGTTTCTTAGTTTCCTTTCAAAATTATTTGCCAGCTGTTTTTTGACATATAGCGTTCAATTCATTCGAAAAACATTGCCCATAGATTTTCCTGGTTTGATCTTAATTTTGAATAAAAATATATTACCAGGAAATCAGCAAGAGGTTCTTATGCCCACTTACAGCTAAGCATCAATTTCATTTACTCTTTATATTTTTTTCAAATTTGTGATTACCTACACACCTGTAGTTACATGTAACACTGTGTAGAGGAAACACTCTCTGGTTAATTAACATTTAGCCTTTCATTCATGCCACAATCACGTCTATTATTGCATTCACATCACAACATTACTCACCAATTATCCTCTCAGATGTCCCAAACAACCCAGGTTGTTCCTTTACACTCTTTAATAGTTTCTCTATAAATTCAGCGTTGTGAATGGGCTCCTTCCATATGGGACCTCCCATGTGAAATTTTCCACCACATTGGTCACATAAGGGTCCTACAGGAGGTCCCAGGGCTGGAGGGTACTTCTTACTAAGGCCTTCCTCAATACGACGCCCCACTGGAAATAAATTGAAATACACAGAAATTTATTAATTAACACGTATCTCCTGGCACAACATACTGTCCCAACCATTGAAAACTCCCAGTTTAACTGACCATTCATTTGAGTAAAGACTGCCATCAGCATTGAATAATAATAGAACTGTAACTACATATTGCAATAGCACCAGGCTTTTAGCCAGGATTTGAAAAGTGGCCATCCAAAATGTGCTATAGGGTCTGCTCAAATGAACAGTTTATAAGGCAGCATATGAAAAATATAACAATAAGCACTTAATGACTGGCCCCAAGGGAAACAGAGAGCTTTGTTTCCTTGAGACCCTCAATGTTCCCCGAGGCGAAGCTGAGGGAAACATTGAGGGTCAAGAGGAAACAAAACTCACTGTTTCCCAAGGGGCCAGTCATTAAGTGTTTTGTTATACCTCCTGCCTCAAAAATAGAAAAAACTGTGAAAAAGTGATGCTTGATGTGTACGGTGGCTGTGCTTGCCGTATGAGTGGCAGTCAAACCGAGCTGTCCTACCGAAACAACACGATAACAATCTTTTTCTTCACAGCTAACAAAAATAAAGACAATACTTAAGTTGCTGTGCCTTCTTCTAATGCTTCACTCAAGAATTCTGGGTTTGATTTGACAAGAAACAGCATACCGGTATTTTGTTGTAAATGACACAGCTATTTTCCTTCCTGGCGAGTGGTGACAGCGATTGAAGAGGGAGTTGCCGAACACGGGCGACCCATTTTTGGCGCCAAATTAAAAGCTTGAAGACACAAAATGTTCAAATTTTCCCCTTCATTAATCTGATATGTTTTTGCCAAGTTATAAGTCCCTTTTCTTGAATAATGAATGCCTTCTCTAGTGAGAAACGTTGTCCTACTTCAATGGCTTTTTTGACATCAGGCCAACTGGCACACAAATTTGCCACGGTTTAAAGGTGCACGGCCTGATCACATGTGAGTCAAAAGTTCAAGTTGTTGTTTACCTAGGGAGTTAGTGAGTTTTGTCTGCCCCAGGGAGTTAGTGAGTTTTGACCCATGGCACATGACACATTCTCCAATCCTAAAACGTATTTGAGTTGGGAGGTATAACAATTTTCTTTAATAAGTGGCCATCTACAGGATGCCTAGACGACCACCTGGCTAAAAGCCTGTATAGAACCCACTAAACTGCAGGTGGCTGTGATCTGACATTAGTGTACATGTAGGTTAAGTAATGTTTGTGCTATGGAATTTATAACATTGCAGGCATCACGATCCTAAAATTAAAATTTGCATAATAATATATATTTTTGTATTCCTTTCAATTTCGATCAAACATCTGTACCAGTGCCATATTACACAGGATCCTCTCAGCATCCTCTCTTAGGGTTAGAGGATCAGAGAAAGAGAGCTTGCTAGACATCTTTCTTGCATGTACCCTTTGTTAAGTCTGTTTGAGTGGTACGACTGGAAACTAGCTAGCTTATTGTCCTTAAGCTACATGCAAAGTACACTGAACACTAAAATCTTACAATCACTTGTTTTAAAGCAAGTGCATATCCAACTCTGAGCCTGCCTGAATTCTACTTAAGAAAACCTACATTGTATTATTGTTTTCCCATTGTTTCACTGAATCACTTGCTAATGTTGTGGTTTATAATGTTCTAAGAAACATTTAATGAGCTTCCACACTTACTTGGCTGAAAATGAAAACTCCCACACCCAGTGCACAAGAAAACCAAACTGTGTTTACTTGCTGACCTTTTGACTTCTGAGGCACTGGTGAAAACTTGTACAAAAACACGCACATAGAAATCAACACTGATGCTCAGAAGAGGTTTGATGTATCTCTTGTATCTATTAGCATGGGATTCCAGAGAGAATAGCAACAATCTCAAAGCCTGTGAAAAAATAGAATTGCTGTCAAAAATGCTAGAGTGAATTTTTCCGAAATATATTGTAATAGGCTACACTTTCCTTGTACAAGATCAAAATCTAATTTTCCACTTCAACATGAAGTTGACTTGCACTTTCAACATTATTTTGACAAGTGCAGTGAACGTCCGGTTGCAACCACCTCTCCTCAGTGACCAGTTTTCCAAAATACCAAAAGTTTCCTGTAAGTGACCACCTCTCATAAGCGACTGCGACCTGTTTTGGAGCAAAACGTTTGAAATTTTCTTTTGTTTTTAACCTCCTGTAAGCAGCCACTGACAGATAATAAGGCAGAAATTGGATCAAGAAAATGCCTTAGGTTTAGTAGATGTCCCTTGTTCATGTGTTAATGGAGTGTCTAAAACTACAATCAAAGGGACACACACAGTCTCTCCATACATTGCATGTGAATGTCTTGGGCGATCGTACGACCAACCAACACAAATAGTATGGACTCTTCTTAGGTCTAGGTTTAGTGTTTTTTGCTCTTGTTAACATGTAAATCGCCAGTAAAATAAAAGGCTGGACTGTCTAATTAAAGCTAGCAATCCAGTTCTTATTAATTTACGTTCAGTTCCTCCTAATGTTTTGACAACATTACAAACTCAGTTTGTACCTATAGTGAGACTTGTTCTGTTCAATGCCTTGTTAGGTTTAGTTTATCAGAAGCGAACCATGATACTCTGAATAAATACCTTTTGAAAGCTTAAAAATATTTTTGTGGCTACTAAAAGTTATAACATGGGTTTAGATGGGTATTGGTGCACAGGATAACTCTCTGCATTTACATGTACCATTTGCTAATGAGGCAAAAGTTTGACCCAATGTGGTCTGACTGTAAACCATCTACATGTAGGCTTGACATTTTGGTTGGTCACCTATGATGCAACCCCCTGGCCTCCTGGAAGTAATGTTTTATACATTTCTACACTGCACTAACCATCTCATGACAGAACTTTGCTTTTAAAGACATACTGCCATATTTTCCAAAGCAAGCTTCACTGTGATTCCCACACAACACTCCCATGTCGGTGCAAGTCACTAGAAGAATCCCACCATCAGAAACAGCTTGCACAGCACTGTCCAAAAAGGTTGATGCTGACCCATAAGGATCAAGATCAATTGCATCAAAGCGGCTTGATGGCGGGTGACGATGTTTGTACATTAATAATCTGCAAGAGTGAGTTACAGTATGAGGCATTAATGAATTTTTTAAGCATCTTAGGAACAACATTTGAATACATGTAACAAACATTCATTGTTTGGGGTAACAATGACATTTCAACATGACTCATGGACTGAGAAATGGATTAGACAAGTAGAATTCCAAGTTAGTATTAATACTAATTTAAATGCTGCAGTCTTATTGGTTGAGCTGTCACACACTATCAACCATTCGTGTGTGGTGGCTTGAGTTCCTCTAAAAATGGCGATATCTTCATGACTCTAGTTTTGTTTTCCAATTTGCAGCTGAATTTTCATGGCCTTACCTTGGACAGGAAATGAAATAAGGACTGTTTCTGGTGTGCATTTATATCATTCTTGAAATATCGCAAGAGCAGTAACACACCCAGGACAACTTGTACTAGAAAGTGATTTTTGCTGACAGCCACTGGTCCATTGGCGCTTACAGAGAGCCCTGATCTATCCTTTAATTTAAGGCTAGATGGTTTAAATCATTGTTTCCTAGTAAACCTAACAATACTAACAAACTAACCCAGCATCTTCTTGGCTTGGCTTCACAATATCCTGCACATTATTATGCTCAACATTTTTCTGCATCATTTTGTAGGCATCAGCACTGATATCATTAGCAGTTATATTCTTTACACCAGCTATTTCCAATGCATATCTCACAGAGCGGAGACCAGATGCTGCCAAACCTTCTAGAATAGTGATTCCATCATCATCTGTTTGTTCTACAGAGGTGCATAAAAAGAAGCCATTGACAGTTAATATCAACTTAATGCTTACATGTAGACTGTTCATTAATTATGCAGGGATTAGGAAGGGAAAACAGGCAAATGAGCCTATGGCCCGTGGCAATGCAAAGTTATGGGCCATTTTTAAAAAGTTTGGGCCATTAGGGTAAATAAATGGGCCATAAAAAAATCTTGACAAGCAATGCCATGTGCGCATTTTGTTCTTTCAGCCTCCCATTTACACCTTTTCCTTCTCCACACCTGACATTCGCTCCATCAGAACCAAATCCAATCATCTTTGTAGGGGGTACATTCCTTTTCTGGGCTTCATTTAAGATTTCTTGTGCTAAACCTTTGCCTGTGACATCTTCATACTCAACATCCCTCAAGTAGACTAGAAGACTTGGAAGCTTTGTCTCCATCCTTGTTTTCAGGATCACAATTCGATGTGGTGGACTCGGCATTCATAGTGTAAAACGGCAACAATCTTGGACATCCAATTTCAGAACTTCTGCTTTCAGAGGCATATTATTTGGCTAATTACAGCATGCAAAACATATTCAACTCATTCTATCATTGAAAATAGAAAGCACATGAGTTGAGCGAAAACCCTCCTTTCCGAGCAGAGTCCAAGTAAGCCACGCTTTTGTAGCGTCGATTAAAGAGCAAAGGCATCGTGATTTCTCTCGTGTTTATTTGTCATTACACTGAAATTTCACAAATAAAAGTCCTTTCCACAAAATAGCATATATTTTACTAGCTGTTTTGTGGCTAGGGCGCATTGCAGGCCTGGTAAGTACTTTCAAAATGCAACTTTTCATAGTTTTATGCATTTGAAGAAATTGAAGGATAGTTACATTAAAGGTACTTGTGACAAGATAAAAATAAAATTTCCCTGACCAAATAAATGCAAAATGTCAGATGAGTAGTAGCCTCCAGCCAGTCCCCTAACAGCTGCTCTTTCTACCCATTTATTTTTAAAACTTGAAAGTGTTAAAATTTCTCTCTCTTCATTAATAAAAAAAAATTAGTAAGGAGAAGCATCACTGAGGTCACAGTGCCCCAAAATAAGTACTTTCAAAATGCGCCATTTCGTAGTTTTATGCATTTGAAGAAATTGAAGGATAGTAACATTAAAGGTACATGTAACAAGATAAAAATGAAATTTCCCTGACCAAATAAATGCAAAATGCCAGATGAGTAAAGGCCTCCGGCCAGTCCCCTAACAGCTGCTCTTTCTACCCATTTATTTTTGAAATTTCAAAGTGTTACTTTGATGTTCATTGTATTACTGACCATTGTTTTCCTAGAAGCCGGTTTAATCATGTAGAGTCCTCTTGAAAGGTTTGTAGAAGCACTCTTTTGGACAACTCTCAGCACACATACATGTATGAACAGTAAATGGTTATCCGCGGATCCAAGGAAGGATTGATAAATGCCACAGCCATTTTGTGTTTACAACAGGTGTTTTAGTTCCCAATCTTTCCATGAGTATCACATTTCCATCGGGAACTAAAACACCTGTGACAAGAATACACCTATGAACATGACAAGAGGTTCATAGTGTTACATGTCTCTGAAATAAAGTGTTACAATGCAGAATGTGTGAGCCTGTCTTTGAGATATTGTCTCTCAGGTCTCATTAACATCATTTTATGGATGCCATAAACTTAAACTTATAATTGTAACATAGCTAAACAAACTGCTATGATATATCTATGGTTGAAAAAAAGAATTGGGACTTTTGAGCAAATATTAGTTTTTTGAGAGTGCCGGCAATATGTGCTATTTTTCCAGTTTTGGCAGGCACACAACTTGAGTCGAGCAGCCCGAACTTCAATTAATCCTAGAAAAATTCAATTAGAATTTTTAATCAAATAAAACTCATTTTAGTGATTGACTAGGTAAGGGCTTCGAAATCCCAGCTTATGAGAAAAATCAAATTTTCGAAGTAAAATCAGTGCTCAGTTTTTACACAGACTTAATTCGGCAGAGTTATAATTTCAATTTTCTTTGACTTTTCTTCAGAAAATAATGTCAATATCCCTGACTCAAAATAAACTGATTCCTTGATATTTCCCTTATCTTGAAGAACTTTTTCCCCTGACTATTTCGCAGGGTGCATTCCGCATGACTTCCACACCAAAGATAAGCCAAGGGTTTTTAAATTCCGCAGCACATGCCCGACTGTAAAAACGCTACCCCAACGCAGGTGGAAAAATTGCATTAAATTAGGTGCATAGCATTCATTTTCATGGAGTACACACAGAATAGAAACTTTATCAAGCACCAACGGAGCTAGGGGGTCTGGGGGCTTGCCCTCCCATGAAATTTTTAATTTTAGGAGCTCTGAAATGCCATGTCCCATGTTTTTCTGCAAACAATTTCATAAATTAAAACAGGGAAAAACGTTGAGTGCACACACCGCTTTACGCCAAAAACTCCAATCGCACGCTAGTACAATGAACCCTGGACTATTTCCTAACCTGTGGCATTCTAGCAGTACTGTAGTTTCAAAAATTAAGGGCAGCTACGATGTACATGTAAGCTAAGACATAAAAGCTCATGAAAAACTTACTCACGTTCGTTCTGTCCACTCGGTTCTGCTGTATGCAAGCCCTTGTTTACACCTTCATGATTAGAATCTTCTTTGCAACACTCGTTGGAATTTCTTTCGACGCCAACTTCATCCTTGACACCAGCTCTTTCCTTTAGTTTACATTTCCTCCTGCCACTTGAAAGTTCCTGCGAAAACAGCTTGATCACTGCTGTACTTAAGTCTCTGTTAAATTCTTGAACGGGGTTGTAGAAGACAGAATTTGAATCAGGAAATAATATTTCTGCTTTTCCCTCGATTACTTTGACGCCATTTCCAACTCCACTGGAAGACATTTTTTAATCTTCCACTTATCCGCCGGAAAACTGCAATGTCTCTCAAAATATTCCTAACAGAAGAAAACTACAAAATGTTTTAAGGCAGTCATCCTTCTGCAATAATTGCAATAGCCGTCGCAATAGATGCCATCATGTGCTCCGCCATGTTGGATTTGTTCGCCTGAGCCTTCAGTCAAAGGGAGTCAGCTTAGTACTGGGCCATATAAGCGCACGTTAATTGCCCTCGTAGTCCCCAGGCTCATTCTGGAAGCGCGGAAGATCATGGCACGGAATTTTAGCGCCAACTTATAATTTCCCATATGAAATTATGAAATTGCCACGGCAACGTTTAACCCGAAATTTCTTGATACTGTAAACAAGTCAAAAGCCCTCGATCGTAAGGGTAATTTGTTATCCACAATATTAAAACGTAATCAAATGGTATACTCGTGAAATTAGGAAATAATTTCAAAGACTCGGGAAATTTTGACAAAACGCGGGTGCAATTATTTCCTTATTTCACTCGTCACCATTTGATTACCTACACTTATTTCGCTGAATTCAGACACGGACGCTAAGGGCGAGGACGCCAGGGAGTTTTTCGCGCGAGGTAAAAATTTGACTAAAGGAAAAGTTAAATTAACCATAGGTTCGGACAGAAGCTTATCACCTTATCAATTTCCGAGTGATAAGCTTCTGGTTCGGACGAAAGAGGACTGTCGCTACCTATTGCTCTTGTAAGGAATTTGAATTTCCTTGAAACATTACTTGGGGAACTATGGACGCTTTCCATACATTCAACCGTAAATTTACAAGCGGGGGAAAATGGTATGCAAATTTCCTGCAAAAGTTTCAAGAAACTCAGGAATTGCTGAATTTTCGAAAAGCGAACCATTCAATTGAACAGAAATTCCAGGTAAGAAATTTCCGAAAATTTCGTTGTATCTCCCAAGGTTCTTCCCTATTCTGGAAATTCCTGAAAATGCTGTTCCATTGGTCACTGGAAATTTCCAGAAATTCAAACTGTAATTTTTCATCGAATTGAAAGCGCCCTATGTTTGTGCTCTTGTACTCTTTTTTTAGCCAATTTCAAGTAAAACATGACATACTCAAAAACGCAATTTCCGAGTTATCTTGTGCCTCTGTTTCAAAACGAGTCTTTGTGCAAAACCTTTCATATGAAAATGAAAATGAACCTGTAGGCGAAACAAATTTCCATACGAATGGTTTCCCACGAAGACTCGTTTTGACACAGAGGCAAAAGGTGACTCGGAAGCGGCCTAAAACTACTGACATCAGGTATGTGACGTCATGAGAGTGCCGCAAGAGAAATCCTGTCCAAATCAGCCCACCTCTGAATGTTAAATTTACTTGCCATGATGGCCAATTAGCATACGCTTTGACTTCCAGTCAGGATTTGTAACACTGTTCTCAAACGAAAAAGAGAAGAAAAAAAACAACGAATGACAAAAGATTGATGACAAATTTTATTGCAGTTGCACGAGTAAGTGACTGGAAAATAGATGGCATTGATGACAAAGACAGATGTTAAATATCTCATTTACTACAAGTTGCTATCAAGGACCTTATCCAAGAAAATTTAAATCTGTAACTGAGAATGCAAAACCTTGGAAAATAGTAATGTTAGCATAATCGCTGTGAAAAAGCATGTTACATCATTTCCTTTGTTACAATTAAGTTATATCAATTCAGTACAATCCTGTGCAATTATTTTTTACAGATCACCTTGTCAAACGCCAATCTGCTTAATAGTACATGTATTACTTTCTATCCACGAAGTTTATCGTCGGCTAAAAAAACAGTCATTATAGACGGGTTAAAATCCTTCTTGACAATCCACCTCTCAAAAACTTCTACTGAAGAAGAATTCCTCAATACACACGCAGGTTTGTTAGTGCGATCAATCCTCACTCATGGACTGGGTTCTAGATCCAGTGGATGACGTAGAACTGGTTCGAGACATCGAGCGCGTGCGCAGTGTTGGCACTGAAAAGAAAACGACAGAATTTAGTTTCACAAGATGTCGCAATCTCCTTTCTAGGTCGGCAACCTGATCCAAACACGCAAACAAAGTTACGGATCACTTGCCAACTTCTGTACTAGTGCTCTTTAAAGCCAAGTTTATAGTGAAAGGGGAAATGAGTAATCAAGTGTGTTCACTTGCATTTCGTTCGTTGCATATTTCAACACGTTTTATCCAATTTGTTGCAGCTCAGCTGGCCTTTATTTCACGTATAACAACCTTAGGAGTCAACACGTTAATAAATAACAGCAAAGTTTAGTTTTGGAAGAGTCGTTCAGTTCAAGCATCGTCAGAGCCTGCATTCTGCCCCACTCTAAACTTGTTCTAACACAACACAAACGCCGTACTATGAATCACAATTAAACATGTAAAATAGAAGTCTTACCCAGTCCTAGGCCTTGAATAAACAAAAGCAACCCCTCTGCCATCTTCTCCGGCTGAAAATGGAGGAAAAAACAATCACGACAAGCTAGAATGATTTTCATTATTACAATGCACATAACAGGACAATCCCCATGGCACAAGACAACAATGCCTAGTTGACGATTTTCTATATTTTCATTGCATGTCTGCTTAGAAGTGAATTCAATAGTTAAGAGCTGACAAATTGAACAGTTCTTAGTCGCCATGCTACCTCACCTTTTCTTCCAAGACACTGGCTCCACAGTCAGGAGTGAGCAGACTCTTAATTTTCACATCTGTGTGTTTCAACACATCACCATAGTAAAATTTGTCCTCCTATAAAGCACAACCACAATGTGATGAAAATTGCTTACAATGCTAGTAAAATAGCTTATTGTAATGACCACAGACACGTAATAAAAAAGGCTAAGGACGTTGCCTACTTATGTTAGTGCGCAGATGTTCTGCGCATCACCCAATGTATGGTTTACATAGCAGAGGGGCATTCTGTCTGCGCATGCGCTAAATCTTTTGGAATGAAAGAATCGTGAGGCCATTTTGATTTCTCGAGCGTGCGATAGCGGTTTTTTTTGGGTGATCTAGCCCTCTCCTAGGAGGTATCATGGAACGAGATAAAAGAAAGTTAAATGCCTACATACATTGCTAACGCTCTGGGTTTCTTCTGGGGCTTCCTTCGACTTCCCGTGAAAAGATCTTTTACAATCAAACTGCCTAAAAACAGCTAAGAAATGGGCAAATCAACGGGATTTAAATTAACATCAGCTGATTTCCGGATGTTCCCACAAGTGGCAAAGCAATTAAGGTGAGTCTGAAGACCTTAAAATTTGTGTTGTGACAAACTTGGCGTGTGTATTTTAAGATGATCGTAAGGTAGAAGGCTCCTTGTAACGGGAGAATTTTGATGTTATTCTGAATTTGCATTAGCTTTGGAATCAAATTTCTATAAAATCCTACTGGTGCCCCAACTTAAAAATATTGCTATTAATAGTGTCTTTTCCTTTTCTTTACAGCGGCTAAGGATCGCAGTCTTTAAAAAATGTACAGCCATCAGGATTAAAAATTTCTTGCGAGCACTTTTGGTGCATTGCAACCGAGCAAATTATGGTAGTGGGATATGCCGTTCAAGTCTGCTTTAGAGGTACTCCTGGAGTCCANGCACACAAACATAATCTGCGAAAATCACAAAAATGAACATTATGCAAATTCAAACAATCACTGCGGCCTGTCAATGCAAACAAGAGCCGAAAAGCGGTCCACTAAACGCAGGCGATGTTCAAGTTACATGTATGGTTTCTTGATAAGTATTTTTTTAAATACGATATTTGGCTAGAAAATCATTTGCAGTACAATCGCAGTAACACTTAGAAATTTGCATACGGCAAGCAAGTTGAAATTTGAGCTCAATGGAACCGGAAAGAGCTAGAAATATCATTTCACACTCGCAGGCTGCGTGCTCTAAATTTGGTTGATTTGTGCGCGTGTTGTTTTTTCTATGCAACAAATGCTATATAATTGCGATTCAAGACTTCAACTCCAGACTAACGATTTGGACGTTAATATGAAATACATGTACTCTTGCATGAACAAAGGAAGCCGCATGATGTGCGGTATTGTTTATTTCTATTGTTACGAATTCGAGATATAAATCGCTTTCTCAAAAAATTCTTCGAGCGTCTCGAAACTCGAAACTCGATTCTCAATTCTTGAAAGCATCGAGGATCGAGGATCGAGTTTCGAGTCGAGACTGTCAACTTACATTTGACTGTCACTGTAAGACAGTAAGATGGAAAAAAACTTTAGACAGAAAAGCTTACTTAATGTAAGCACAAGTTTAAATGTACAACTCTGAAGAGTTGAGAAATATTTTAAAGACTTGCGTTCGGAGGCTTCGCGATATATAATGGCAGACGTGAAACAGTTCGACATGGCTATTTTCCACAGAAATCAGAGAAGAATAATTGGTTGGTGCGAAGATGGAAGGTAATCAACCTTGAAATTTTCATGATCATAGCTTTCGTTTTTGAACTGTGTAGGTTTCATTCAGACCTGCATGGCTTTCATTTCATTCCTCTCATATGCAATTCACACATACTGCCCTTGGCGTTCACGCATGCCAATGTGCAATCAACTTATGTGGTTCTCTCTTACATGGTTCCCTGTTCATTATGGTTCTCAGTTCATTATGGGACAATCATTGCTATAACTTCAGTTATGCCGCATAAACAGGTAAAGTGCAAAGCAATTCCAGTGTAAAATCAATCTTCATTTCCTTAAGATAGGTTTGCAGGTTGAAAACACATTAAGGACAGGATAGTATGACTACAGGTACCACCTAAAATTATTTATCCATTTGGATGCAGCAAAAACCTTATCTTGCAAGAACATGGCCAAGCACCATGGCCAACAAGACATGGTAACTGCTGACAAGAGGCCATACTAATCAATTACTGCTGTCAAACAGTTAAATAAAGATATTTCTCAAACTTTTCAAAGAACGCTTTTCCTGGCAAAACATAACGAAAAGTTAACTGTCAAAATAAAAGTTAATAAATCGCTTGAAAATGTGTGTTTATGGTTATCTCTAAGGACCATACTAACCTTTCCTTCTCCCCATTCCTTGAAGCTGGCTGTAGAAATCCCTGGCTCTACAACAACTAATCCAGCTACTTTGTCCCCCCATTTTGACACCTGTAAAGAATCAACCAAATTATTACATCTATACTATTATCAGGCATAACAAGGTAAATAACAACACAACACCACCACCAACAGTTCTTTTCAGAACTACCCCCCCTCCTTTCTGGATGATCTCATAAGACAAACTAGTGTACACATCATTAGCAAATAATTTGCAGTGAGCATCTCTTAGCTCAAGTTTGACTTCCATTAGAATGACTAGCTGAAATGTGACCATCATTTTTGTTACTGTTTTAACTATACTTCAACATCCTGTAAGCAACCACCTAGGCTTTCAAGGGAGGGTGGTTGCTTATGAGAGCTTAGACCATATTGGGTCAAAATCTTGCCTCATTAGCATATGGTAACTGAAGAGACTTACCCCATGATTTAAATATTTTATTCATGTGAAAGGTCAATTTCAAGAAAAATGCAGTACTTCCCATTGAGAAATTTCCATCTCTTGTACTACCCAGGAATGTGATAATGTTACAACACCTTAATATCCAATTTCTGCTCTGTTATCTGTCAAGTGGTCTCTTACGGAGGTTAAAAACAAAACAAAAAATTTCACACTTTTAGTGCTAAAAGTGGTCGCAGTCGCTTACAAGGGGTTCCAAATATAGTGATTTGACTTAGTAACTTTTGGTATTTTGGAAAACTGGTCACTGATGAGAGGTGGTTGCTTACAAGAGGTGGTCACAAACGGAGGTTCCACTGTATTTGACTTCTGAGAGAGCAAAGTTAAAAAGAAGTTTCAAATGTAAACACAATTCTCAACTTAATTGACCATATTGTGTGAACCACAAAAAAGTTAACTTTGACACTGGCCTTGAAATCTCTTATATTTAATTTTAGTTTATTTCAAAACAATTAACATGGTGAAAATAAAATTAATTAGCCACTTAAGCAATATATTGTAAGCAAACAGAGACAATACATGAAAGCAGCTTTTCACAGAAAGGAACTGGGACTTGAAACAGGATGATCACATACTTTCAGTTAATTACAAAGGTCACGTAAAACTGCACATGATTTTGTTGTTCAGCTTGTCAACCCGCTCTCATGTTGAAGTCGTTTCTTTTGGAAATGTATCTTCATTTGAGATAAATTGGTTTATCTTCACTCTTGTGTCTGGTTCATTGATTGGAAACTGCTAAGTAACTGTAGTCTAGATGGCAAGAAACTACCTCCCCTGATTCATTCAAATGAAAGGTTATTTATGGTAGCCAAATACAGTTTTTGATAACTGTGTTTCAATCACCATTTTTTGAACCTTTGATTGTCAAAAATAGCACGATGCAACTTAACAACAAAGACTTCGGTTTTTTGATAGTTTAGCTATGCACCATTGCCATGGCAACATGAACATACATAAGCAGGCCTCTAAAGACAGTTTTGTACATTTGCAAACTATTGCCTTAACAGTTCCCACTCTCACTTGTGTCTTCTCAAACCACAAGGATATAGTTGTATTGGATTTTATACATCATAAGCATGCAACAAGCTTGTAACAATGCTCACATGTTCATGTCGCAGGTCAACTTAATAATAAAGAAATCACATACTTTACTAAAAACTTGACCACATTCAGGAGTTTTTTGAGATGAAATGAACCAAGTGACCAGGGCAATGACTTAGTCCCTGCATCTCTGAAGTATACTTCTAAAAATTCCTTAACTCATGTTTCCTACATGATTGATGCAGAGTACTTTTGTGCACCATGTTTGCTTGTACATCATCGACAAATCAATCTCCACCAATCAGTATTTTGAGTCCAAATTTTGGACATGACATTCTGAATTCTAAGCATTGCATGCAAGCACTCCTTCTGCCCCAACTCGAAAAGCACTTCTTAGGCTATTCTCAAAAAATGCACCCATAAATGTCTGGTCACTGGAATCTGGTATCTAAATTTTTATTAAAACTAAATCAATTGGCATAACTGATAAGGCAAAAGAATGTTGCTGAAAAGTTAGTTTTCCACAAAGCTTTACTAAGATAAGATCAATTTTTTTTCCTTTAGGTAAGTTTCAAATAGCTTTTATACATATGTGACCTTTCACACGAAACATGCATTAACTACTTTCTGTTACACGGGTGAAACAAACGGCCATCAAACTGGTTACAAACAGGTCACCAAGCTGTTTGAAATGGGTTTCAATGAGTGTTCGAATGGGTGATTAAGTATTCTGAACAGGTAGCCTAGCCATTCGAACGACTCAGGAAAAATTGTGAATGGGTAGCCTAACCGTTTGAACGGCTTGTAAAACATTCCAAACAGTTAACAAAACCATTCGAACGGCTCATAAAAAATTTCAAACGGGTAACTAAACCGTTTGAACAGCTTATAAAAAAAAAATTCCAGACGGGTATCTAAACCATTCAAACAGCTTATAAAAGAATTTTGAACAGGTGATCTAAACGTTTGAACGGCTCATGAAATCTTCGAACGAGCAGTCACAAACAGCTAATAAGCTTGATGATTATAATTCATTTTGTGTATTTCGAATGGTGCTGTGACACTATACATCTCACTTAAAAATAATTTCGAACAGATGGCTTTTAATCGTTGAAACTTCTCCTGTTATGGATGCACCTTTGACGAAACTTCGAATTCTTTGATCGGCGTGGGCTGCTGTGTGCATGTTCTACGAAGTATTTATATCCATCAAAATGTAACAAATATAGCCGAAGAAGGAGTTGATTCTCACCACTTCGTCTACAACTACCGTTACACAAGAGGTCTTGGGAAGTTTCTTAGTGATGTGACTAATATTAGGTTCTAAAGTGTAAGCCATAAAAAGTCTAAACCTTGTTGAAGTCGTTCTTGGTGAGAGTTTTTGTTCAGGAATAATTCAGTAGATTTTATCACTGACGTTGGAAGACTTTGGTCACGTGCAAGCAACGTGTGAATCGAGAATGTCTCCAAATAATTTTCTAGACTGAGACAGAGATACATGTAAGGCTTTTGGCAACAACAGTTTAGCAACAGTACGCTTTTGTTGCTTGGTTGTGAATTAGATACTAATACTGGGTTCGCTTTGTTTTCTTTTTCGGTGACATGGAGGAAATTTCACTGTTTACAATTATTACTACAATGTGTCCCGGAGTCCCAGACCCGCGGTGTGGTAGCGGCGTGAAATGAGCTTATTTGAAATGGCTTTTTCTCTCCAGAATGTCCCTTGTGGCAAAGGTTAAAAAAAATTTTACTGGGAAGTATAACCCAAATTTTAAAACAAGCAAGCTTCTCAGTAGACGAAAACAAGCACAGGTCTATGCATGCATGACAAAAGCGTGACTCACTTTTCACGCATCAGTAATGTTTGAAACTTAACGCAAATTCAGGGCGTCACAACAACATGATTGTTATCTTGCCTATTCAAGCTCAGTGCATGCTGCCACCTTAAAGATTTCATTTAGTGGATTCTCTTCAAAATAAGAGGAATGCACAAGGCAAACTCATGTGATTTCGGTGTTCAGAAAATCATTTACAGTGTATGTGCTTATCATAACCATAGTTATACCGGTAATGTTTATTAAACCGCATTGTAAACAGGGTAGAATTTAAGAAGTTCCCTTCTATAGGTGACTTTCAAGTTTCCTTGATTACCCTATGTTTAGAAATGCAAAATATATTTTCTGCAAGAGATCTTCGCCTGTAATAATAACTTTGTGAGAAGTTTTTAAAGGAATTTACAACATCGTAGTTCTCAATTGTTTACACACGCAGTGGTTCAGTGTGAGCTTTGAACGAAAGTTGTCTTCACTCACAGATCACGCAAGAAGAAGAAAACGAAAACAACACTTTTGAATCGGCATTCAGAAGCAAAAACCGTTGGATACCAGGCTAACTACAATGTAGTTCGATTTTTCTACCTGGTCTGTTTCTTCATGTGCTTCATTACTTGGAGATATTTTGTGATTGTCGTGTAATCTGTTAGCAAACTGTTCAAGTGATCGAAGGGCTTTTTTCTGTAGGTGACACGAACACGAGAGTACGCGAACAGGTAAAGACAACCGCTTGTATGCCTTGATATTTTTTTCCAGAATGGATGATCAAAGCTGTTCAACGGTTTACTCAAGTCGTTTGAACGGATGGATGTTCCAGCAAACGGGTGAGCAAGTCGTTCGAACGGATGGATGTTTTTACCAAACAGGTGAGCAAGTCATTCGAACAGCTGGACGTTTCTACCAAAAGGGTGATCAAGCCATTCGAACGAATGTAAATTTCTTTCAAACGGCTTTCAAACAGCTTCTAAAGGGAATTCCGTTTGAAAACGGAAAGCTGTTAAAGCACGTTTTCGCGTGAAAGGTCACATATATTGACTCCACTGCAAATTTTCTGGTTGCTCATGAATGTAATTTGCAAATATAGTTGACCTGTTTTCATGTCATTAGTAATAAAACCCCAGGCCTACAAGAAAAACAGGCTTTCTGTCCAGTCAATTAGCAAAATAATATACAAACACTTTCTGTGACCCTACAAAAAAAAGAACAGTTATTACTTACTGCCAATTCTGTAAGAACATTTGCTCCAGCACCCACTCCAAAACAAACCACATCACTTAAACTGCAACAAAAAATATATAATACCATAAGAAAGGTACTTCAGGCAGGGCTGCAACTGCCTCTAGTCAGTCATCACACTCATTACATTTTCTACAACCATTCCAGAAAAAATGGGCCTAATGAATGAGACAGCTTTTCTTACAAGAGATAAGAGGCTCTTAAACACCAGCAAAATTCAGAGCCTGTTGATAGAACTTGGTGCAGTATGCTCTTAGAACAGCAGCTGATACCATTTGTGACCCCAGAAACTGTATAAATCAGTTTGGTGGCACCAACAGAACTGTACAGGAAGCAACAAAACAAAACAAAACAACAACAAAAGCTCATTGCTAAAACTTACTTGAAATGATCAATCACGTTACCAACCATCTCTCCTAGTTTTTTCATAGTTGGGTATTGATAACTGAAAATAAAAGTTTCAAAAACTTTTCATCTCAAGTCTACCAGTACATCCACGTAATGGTCATTATACAGTATTGTGCAAAAGTAATGAGAGCAAAATGCGCGAATTTCGTTCTTTGTCTCAGCAAACTTTTGAAGAAAGTTCGTGCGAAAATTCAAGCGTCTTTTCACAATATCTTGAGCGTTGTTTCTTTAAAACAAAGGACGAAAATTCGCGGCATTTTCAAGACCAGAACGATAATTCCTTACCAGAGGGATAATTCCCCTTGTAGTATGCGAAATATCGCAGTGCAGTGCGCTGACCAGTATCGAGCCATCAATGTATCATTCTCTTGTGAACAGTTGCGGTCACCGTAAAATTTGCTGTTGTTAATGTGTTAATCCGTCTTTCATGGCGAAGAACATAGAGAATTTGAATCCTTTGATCATTTTCAATGACACGAACTTGCTAACTTAACTGCAAGGCAGGAACAGAAGTCAGACCGCTAGTCCGAGTAAACTCGGACGAAAGTAAAATTCTTAATAAGGCCTTTTTGAAGGCCTACTTCACCTCAAAATTCATCCAAAGTGACATCAAATTCAGTGATCGATGGACAAGCAGACATGTTGTTTATCTAGTCCCAGGTTTCCATGTGCCCAGTCCCCTCAACTGTTATCACATTCACCACGTTCTTGTCCACCTGCCATGATGGATAGTATATTATTCGCAACAATCCCTCTTTATTTCACACTCGTAAATAAGAGATGGAGACATGCGACCGCACTTGAGCATGTTGGAAGTGCAAAGAAACGGGATTAAGGAAGCAAAAGTGCAGAGACGTTTGGATGGCAAGTGCAAAAGGGTAAGACACAGCTGCCATGAGCCAAAGGATTCTTACTCGAAGTGAGCCGAAATGAGATGCTCTTATTTAAGCTTATACCATACTCCCACTGTAAGAGACCGGCCTGAATAGTTTGATAATAGCTTCGAACCTTCAACGGTAATATCGCAAGGTCGCGCAGAACCTGGGTTCATTGTGGCTGCACCGCAAGTACTTTTGTGAGTAGCATTTCTTGTTCAGTGAAAACAGGTTGGCAAACAGGCCATTTGAACTTGCAAGCCTTGAGACTGTAACAAACAAAGTGATATCAGCTTTCTCTGGACATAAGCAAGGTAAGTTTGTGAGAAAAGGCTTTGAGATATTACTATCACTCACAATGATATTAACGTATTTATCACACACGTTCTTGTTTTGCTCTGGCTTAATTCATGTTACTACTGGGAATCTATGGGGAACTTAAGGAATAGAGCAAATTTGTGCTAGAAAGTTCGAAGGAAAATTCGAGGAGAGCGAATTTTTACTTGAAAAATCAGGCCAAATTATCAGTAGACACGAATTAATGCTCAAAAATTCACGTCAACTAAAACAATGGGTAGCGGAAAAATTCGTTGAATTTTCTTTGAACTTTTGAGGCAAACAAAACTTCACCATTTTTCATTGAAAAGCCCTGAAATTCGCGAATTTCGTCGAACTACAATCTCATTACTTTTGCACAATACTGTATAAATTAATTAACCCATTGACGCCTGAATGAAATTGCCCGCGACCCACCCCTAATTTCCTGGCGTTTTTTGGAATATTTCAGAGTGAGCGAAGGCACAAAAATAAACCATATGCACAGTAACCACAGACACAAGATCAGGTTTCAAGACATCGTACATTTAAAGTTGAATAAATGAAGGGTCAAAATATTAAAAAATATTACCAAAAAGAACTCAACCTGATGTGTAAAACTGATGAGAAAACAAGAAATTATCTTACTTGTTTACCGCGTAACAAAATGTCCCGCAGAAGCTGAGAAAATTGACGTTGTGAAAATGAATTAATTATTGATTTTGGAGGACTAAAATGAAACCAAATACAACAAAATTTCATTCTGGTACTGTAATGGCTAACATTTGAGAAAACAACGAAAAATAAAGTGAAGAAATCATGTAAAAATCAATCTGAAAACAAGAAATTGAGTAATTTCTTCACCGCGCAATGAAATATTACAGCGAAAAGAAAGATGAAAGTCGTAAATCAAAAAGACGACAAAGACAAGCCAATTATTTTGAGATAGGTCGTATTTCAACTGTGTTAAATTAGTGGCCATTTAATTCTTTTCTCAGTGGTTCTGTAGTAGCTGAATACGGCTCCAAAAAATATGTGAAGGAAGCAAATAAACTTAAATAAACAAAGCGCCTGGAGGTCACTGTAAATTAAATATGCAGAAATCCAGCATGCAAGTTACTGTTCACTTTTAAAACCTAAAATCCCCAAATACAGGGAACCAAATGAAAGAAATGCGAAAGGCAGTTCAGTGGCAATAAATTTTCATTCAAGCTGAGGCAAAGAAACCTATTTAAAAGCAAAAAGTTGTTCAAAATTTTGCAGACATGCTTCGCTGCATGACCGCATGTTCAAATTATTCTTCACACTAACGCAAAAGCTTGCGTTTTTACCAACTACTTTTGCAGTCATTTTAACGCCCGTGGCTTTAACAATCGCTCCAAAAGTTGAATTCAACTTCGAATTTATAATGTACATTACCATTCGTGTTTCTTAAGTCTGAAAGCTGCTTTAAATCTGCGATATGTTGTCAAGACTTACTTTAAAGAGCTCTGATCTTCATGTTTTCGCAGTGGTTGTAGGAAGACAGACTTCTTCCCCAGAAAGTTTTGAGGACTCTGTACTCCTTGATCCTCCATTCTGAGGCCACCTAAACATTGATTTGTATTTTTCCTTTCTATTTTAAAGCCCAAAGCAGTAATCTGTCTGTGTCAGGAATGAAGTCAAGACCTTGGAAGGTTTTGGATTTGGCCCGCAACGCGCCATGATTACCTGCACTTTTTGAGCGCACGATTTTAAGAAGAAAAACTGTCTTTCTAGGACCCCTTAAGTCCTCTAAAAATATGCTCAGAAAGTCCATTCTGATTGGTTTATTTGTTCTCAAGAACAATAGAACAATAGGAGAACCAAAAAGTCTTTAGGGAGGGTAGGAAAGGCAATTGTCCCCACGTGCTTTTTTCGGGCGGTTACAGGCAGTACAGGGAAATGGAGCTTTTTGTACAGGCAGTTACAGGCATCAATGGGTTAATGTGAGGTTTGAATGGAGTTTGAAAAAATTTTAAATAGTAAATAAAAACAAATTTAACAAGAACAACATAACCGACAAAACCTTCAATGTTTGAAAAGTAAAAGTACTCGCTAAAGATGCTGTACCATGGTCCAATGACATAAGTGCTCCCATAAACTGTAATGAATGTTCCATTCTATGGGCCATCTCAGTTTAATTTGAGACTAGTGCTAACACTAGTGCTATTTGAATTTATTGGTCAAACTTCATTTTCTCCCTGTTAGCCCCAATTCTTAATTTTTGAAATAGCTTAAATCTGTATACTTACTCAGGTGCCAGGTTTTCTGCCTTGCTTTCCTAAATAAAACAGGAGAAGAAAACAGAAAAAATTTAAACTATAAGCCCCAAGCAGCTCCATTTAACAACTCCAGTCTTGCTTCAAGTACACTGTACTAGTAAAATTAATTCTGGACAAATTCCTATCCAAAAATGCAACATACAAATCCAGGAAAGAATTGTTTTCTTAGTTAATAAAAAAGAGACAAATTCCTGGCCCAAAACACAAGAAACAAATCCAGGAAACTATCTTAGAGAAACTATATTAGTTCACTCTGGACAAATTTCCTTCCTAAGACATATGAAGAAAAGCAAATATTTGGATTAATTCAAAACAGTCATTTGTTCTAAAAATGTTTGACAATCAATATAACTGTTGGCAATTAACTATATTAGACCTACATGAATTTCCCAGGAGTTAATGGAATGCAAACAGAGGTCTGAATTTGTATAAAAGTTGTTTTCTGATGTTACAGCTCTATAAACTGTGACACTCATTGGTTTTCATAGCACGCCTATTAAACTTACACAGCCTTAAAACATGGTGACATCTTGATGACATCTCTTTGTTTTCTCAGAATAAGCTACATGTACTTTTATTGCTCTATAATGCAGTTCAGTTAGGGAGGCGCGGTGGCCTCATGGTTAGTGCGCTCGTCTCCGGATCGAGCGGTCCGGGTTCGAGCCCTGGCCGGGGACATTGTGTTGTGTNATCCAGGGGGAGTAGAAATACTCTTAGTCGCTTCATGCTACAGAAACCGGGATAAGCTCCGGCCTGATGGGCCACTTGGCTCGCATGCAGATTTTACCTACCTATAATGCAGTTCAGATTTCTTCATGTATCTCCCAATAACAAACAAACTTCACTAAAGCTTATATCAACAAAGCATTTCTGAAATGCAAGGTTTTTAGCAAACTGTGATAGAGTAGCTGACACCAGATAATCTATAACAAGTCCTGTGAATACAAGGGAGTTAACCCTTACCTGCCCTGGGGCATCCACATGATAAATTATAAAGCGCTCCAACAGGCCCACAATATCTTCATGCTGGAAGAACCTTTCAAAGCATGTTTTATCTAAACACAGAGATTTTAGCATGAGTGCAATATTATTCTCCAGCTTTAACCTAATGCTATTACATGTGGGCATCTAGAGAAAGCAAATAAAGACACCTTACTAAAAATAACCAAAGTCTTCCTCTAAAACCAACAAGCGCCTTTCTCAAGTTGCTGTATACATGAAACAGTGATGTTTTCTTGGCACATATGATACCACACTAATAAAAATGTGCCATTAGAACTGAAGGTTAAATTGCACCCCATTCTCAGCATTTTGGCACTGAGATAGTTTTCATGGATAGCAAGTCAATTTTTTATATACCGGTAGATTAAGTTTTTAAAATGGGAAGACATGCCCAAACTCCAAAAGGTTTACCAAAGTTAAATTAATCAATGAATACTGGGGAGTGCACTCATAACTAAAACATCAAATTTCCAATGTAACTTTCAGTAAACAATGAAGAAACAATCTCCAATAAAACACCACTTTAAAGTTGAAACAACCTTTTAGATAAGATGCTTCCATCATCAGTTTTGACTTACAATACCTACACATTATAAAGTTTATGTTTGTTTTAGCACCATTGTATTTTACTTATTCACAACAAATATGTTTTAAATTACTATCTATTAATAGTCTAAATTGAAACTTAATTTATTAACACCACTTAACAGTCCTAATATAAGTCAAAACTGACAATGGATCTTGATCATCCCCAGCAGATTCATTAAAGAACAGAACTGTGTGTATTTATCTGAAGATTATTCAATAACAGTGTTCTGTCAACATGTAAACATGTTTCATTATCATGCAAATGAAGCCTGATATGGTAACAAAAATGTTGTTTGTTACATCCAACATTTGGTAACCTCTAGGCAGGAAATGACCAAACCTACAAGACTTGTTTCTTGCAGCAGTTTTTTATTATTATTACTATTATTTTTTGCCAGGAACTCTGAATAATAAGTTTTTATCAACTACTGAAGGACCTGTTTCACATGATAGACTACAGAGCAGCTTCTACTCCCATGTTGTCATTATTTTTTTCTATTTTTTTTTTCTTTTTTTTTTTTTTGTGGTAGTTTGCAACTAGACAACTGTCTTCTTGATACTGTTGAAAATAGTGCGACTAACTGGATTTATTTATGTAGTGGCAGTCACGTCTACAGCAAACTTTGGATACCTGTTCAAGTGCCCACACTATATTGGCTTGGGTGAATAATTATATAAATGGTTATAATCATTACAAAATTCCAATATCTGCCTTATTTTTACTGTTCAGATGGTTGTCTGTTCTCAGATTTTCAATCCAAATGCCAAAAGGGTTGAAACAAATCAAATACTAGTTAAAACTGAACTGATAATTTACCTAATTCCTTGGCGTTAATCCCTCCTGAAGTTTTGAACAACATTCAAAACAAATTAATAACCGCTTATTTCAAAATAATTAAGTTGAACGTAAGTTTTATGTAGATAGGCTAGTAAAGAAACTGAAACTTCCCATCCAAGAAAACGATACATTTCTGCCATATTCCTAGCAAATGTGTAATATTTAAAGATATTTAGGTAATAGATTTTCACGAACTGGGATAAAAGGTTCCAAATATACATTGTGCATGTATTGTTGTAGTGATCAGAGCAGCATGCAATATGGTGCAATATAAAAAATAGGCCAATTCGATCGCAACGTACGTGAAGACATCCAGGCCATCAATGAGCTCTTTCTATTCTAGATATTAGAGCAACTTTCAAAAGAATTTGTTTAAATACGAATATTTGTTCTCCTAAAAGAAGTCTTGTCGATTTCTCCGATAATTTTCAAACCCGCCTCCATTTTATTCTCAACATGGAAGAGAAGTTTATGCTTCGCATAATGGAATACAGAGACAAACAACAAAGAGAGAAAGTCAGAAAATCACGACATCTACTCGAAACGTCTTTAATAGAAGAAAGCTTAAAACTCTAATCTTCACTTCACCTTTGCACATAACACCAGTCCAGTTAAAATAAAATGCAGCAAAACCACAAACCCAAAACAACAAGAAACGCAACACATGTTCGGAGCTCGTTCTCAATATTCGAGACTTTTTTTCAATAAGGATCTCCGACAATTAATTGTCACAGAGCAAGCCTACGTGCCTGATGAAAGTTGTCACTCTTCATTGCTTTTGCCCCATTTCCTGAAATAGCGACGCGTGTTGATCTTTGTTTTCGGCATATGCGATATGCTGTTAAAATATATCGACTGCATGGATCATCGATGCAAATAAACAAGACGAATATACATTCATTCAAAAATAACCTCACTTACGATTCATTCCAACATCGTGGAAAGTTATCATGACTTCCTTCTTCTTAATATTTTCCTTCTCGTCCTGTTTATCCCTGGAGTCTTCGCCCTGGAACGGTGGAAGGTCGAAGGTAGGTCAAAACAGTGAAGCTTATTAAACAGAGCGAAGGGTAAGCTTATATACAGTTGTGCAAAATCCCCCCAAAATACTCCCGATCTTTCAAAGTGGAGCATACGTCGTACAATACTAGCCAATACAGCCTAAATAACACAAGGGATAAGTCATATTTTATAAAAAGCAAAACGTACCACGACATAAACGGTCAAGTCGCCGACTTTCTCCACCTACAAAATGGATCGGAAAACGACATGAGAACAGTAGCACACCGTGCAAACGCAAAACGCTCGAGGAGTCAACATTAACGTACCCTTTCTGTAATTTGACGTTCCTCCGCCATTTCCTAGCAAAATAAGCTTAAATGAGCTCCTTGAAGGATAACTTCAATCAAAGTCCCTGCATCCACATGCACGGAGCCAGCTACTCCCTCTGCACGGATCAAATAGCAAAGTGAGAGACAAGGGACCAACTAGAACTGACCAATCACAGCACAACATAGAAATTTGCTGACCAATCGGCACTGCAGTCCTGCAGCGGCTTGTGACGCCAAGCGTAAAAATACTAAAAGTACAAAAGTTGCATGGGTCAAAGTTGATATTGAAATTTCGTGAAGTGAAATTTGATAAATTAACTGTTTGCAAACGCTACTTTGTGAGGTATTCTATCTGAAGATCAATCGCTTAGACTGCAAGGAAAAACTGTGGAAGGATCTAAGCCAACATCAGTCACGTGGATGATGCATCAGGGTGGTTGTGGGTGACGGATCTCACTACAATAGCTAACAATACATACCGTTGTGTTACGATTAGGGTCGTATTCGAATTTGCCTTCTTTCTTTCAACTGAAAAAAAGGAACATTTTTTAATTAGGTATGAATGCTCTCTTCAGCAATTTGGTTTAATTTGTATGGACTCCATTACATGAGGCACCTGTTTAAGAAGTAAACCATGGAATCAACTAATTTGCATATTGAACCTGTGATTACATCGTAACTGCAAGGTACAGGGAGGGAGACACAGCATAAAAGCTTGGATGGTTGAAAATAAGCACCAAATTCAATTTCAAAACGGATACTTTGAAAGAAAAACAAAAGTGCTATTCCTTGGAGATATTTTGTCTTCCATTCTTCCGCCGTTCGAAAACGATATGGGCGGCGGAAGGAAAATGGTGCCGCACTGGACAGAGACCAATTTAAATGTGTGTATACGGGATCAATGATAGAGAAAGTGTAGTTATGTGTACTTCAAGGGCTAGCCAATATAATATGTTTACAAGCAAGCGACCTGAACACTAGAACGCTTCCGACCGGGAATTTTTAGCATAGTGGGAAGCAGCCCTATATTTTACCCTCACAAACAGTTTGTTATTGGGATAATTTGCTACCCTGGGGCAGTTTAGGTGTGACTGCGCGAAGAAACTGAGCAGGAACAAAAAACCGGACAAAATCAGCCAAATTAAATGTGACCAAGGACATCATGTGCACCCGGAATTTGATTTCGGCGCTTCGCGTTCAAAGGAAGTAACTCTCAAATAAAGGTTTTTTGACCGATATTAACGATATAGTGCTATATACTAGGAGTTTCAATGTGAAAGTGGGGACTGGCGTCAGAGCTTGAAGGAAATACTGATAATACGATTTGAAATAAACGGTATAATAGGGGTTAGTGTAGCTTTTCGTAAGAGGGAATTACGATTTTTCCACTTAGTTTAGTTTTAAAGGGCTTTTGTGAAACAACAACAGAGTCCCCAAATTTTTTTCTTGAGTTAAAAGAACGTAACAAATGCCAGAACTTGGTTTAAGAGACCCAGGAAACCTTTAGTAGATGTATTTCCACAAGTATTCTTTTTTTTAAAATTAGCCTTTATGCTTAAACATTACCAATAAAATTCAAGACTGAAGCGCAACCAGGATGAGACATTAGGGAGTTTAAGTTAAGAGAAGACTGGGGGCACTTATTCGAGGAGGGGCGCTTATTTAATTTTTCCCAAATCGTGGCCTGACATGATCATTTTTTTAATACATCATCTGCGCGTAAAGCCGTAAACAACAAAATAAGCTGTTTATCGACATAAAAAGCTAATCCTAAAGTTTAAATCGCGGTACCGTTAGCGTTCACCTAACGAGTTCAACGTGTTCACTAAACATGTTCACAAACTGAAACAATGTACAAATCTAATACTACATGACGAAAACTATACATTCTTTGTTGTCTCATTACTCGTCCACAAAATGAGGGGGAGGGGAGGGAGCGCTTATTCGAGGGGAGCGCTTATTTTAAATTTCGGCCCATGGCAGGGGCGCTTATTCGAGGGGGGGGGGTCTTATTTGAGGATTTACGATACCAGTAAAAGTGAAAATGAGATGTTTTAATAGCGTGAATGTGTGAGTTTACCTAAACTGAAGCCGTCACGCAACGTGTCATCGAAGGTCATATCAAATCGCATTAAAGCAAGGAAATCAAAATCCACAGAACAATATGATTGCAAGCTTTTCTTTCGCCTCAACGAGCAGAGATTTTGACTCAACGATCAAATTTAACGCTTCAACGGGCAAAGAATACTGTGAATGATTTGCCTGTGGTACCGAGGTGGCTTTCGGCATAAAGCAGGTTGTCTTCACGCCTTCCTCTCTTTTCTCCCGAGACCAGCAAGCTGCAGTCGGCAGTTTACTCCGAATGGAAGCATTTTTGCCTAACACTTCACTGCTGCTGAATGTACTGAGAAAAAAATTGATCTCCATGAAGTAGGACTTGATCGATATCTTGGCACCTCCATTCGCGAATCGGCAAAAATTGCTCACATAGTAGAGCGGCCAAACACATAAAAATCTCGTCTTCCTCGAGAGTCATCACTAAACCGTTCATGACCTTGATGAATACTTCCACAAGCAATTAAAGACATCCATATTTCACCTCGTTTATCGTGTCCTTGATTCCTAGCAGAGCGGGACGGCTGTACACAGCTATTGCTCGAAATCGATCGATATTCCCACGTGCATTCACAAGCACCAAGGGATACATCAAACAAATTTTGGCTTTTCCTCGCTATTGTAAAGAATAGGCTGCTGCCTCGCTAGAGCTCGCCAGCAATTAAAACCATTTATAGCGTTGCTGTTGACGCCTTCTAAAGAAAAATTGTTGACTTAGCTGAGCTTAAAAATTTAATCATAGGATGATGCTGTTACTGACAGTGATAAATAAAGACTATTTAATATCCCTTGTGACTCTGTACTACAGGCAACGAATAGGTTCATGATTTGTGCACATACATGTACTTACAAATAAAAAAACTGGCCAAAGAAACGGCGTCATTCAGCGTTTCTCAAGGGATTTCCTTTATTCTGCGTTTTTTACTGATGAGGCAGATCTCGTGACTAAAATAACTCGCCTGATTTTTCACGAGATATTTTTTTTAATCAAAACTATAACAAAATTCTCGAACGTGATTGGCCATCAGCAGCCCGATTTGAGCATTAATTGGACAGTGTACGCGTCATGCTTGTAATTGGACAGTACGCGTCATTTTGCGCGCGCTGTTGCGGTGCACTTTGTTGAGTAAACTGCTGTGTTTTTCAGCATTCATAACGACGTTTAATCGTTCAGCGCTCAAACGATGGTTTGCTCGTTTCTCGAATTTTGTCATAGTTTTGATTAATTGGTAACAGGACTTCGCGTCGTCCAATTCAGCCTGTAATCACACTCGTGATTAACAAATCGGACTCCCGCTTCGCGGTCGTCCGATTTTGTTAATCACTCGTATGATTACAGACCTAATTGGACTCCGCTCAGTCCTATTACCATTATTAATCCAATAAGTTGCGATCAGGCGTTCTTGTTGTTATTGTTTTGTTCTTTTTCTCCTCTCCTCCACCAGCGCGAGAAAAAAAAACAGCCTGGGTGCAGGTTACTTGTATACTGGTAGTCAAACGCTTCCGAGTTCAATTCGGAATTAATTTGCACGAGTGAGTTTTTCAAAAAGCTGAAATTGCGCGAGCCGCTTCGGCCAGTGCAATTTCAGCTTTTTGAAAAACTCACAAGTGCAAATTAATTCCAAATTGAACGAGAAAAACCGTATGATTACATATTAATATAAACATGAAAAAATTCGCGTGGAGGAAGGGCCGGAAGATCTTTCTTGAAGCCATTTTTCCTCATTGGAGAAAACCTTTTCAAAGTTTCCGCCCAAAATTTTCGTTATTATTTTACATGATATCATTGGTTTAGAAAATTTCCTATTGTCTTTCAGCCAATCATAATCCAGAATTACGATGTGTTATTTGCACTGGTGTTACACTTCTCGCACTGGTGTTACACTTCTCGCACTGGTGTTACACTTTTTGCACTGGTGTTACACTTGAGCTGCACTGCTCTCAGCCAATCAGAATCGAGCAATTTTTTCATGTATAGTATCAGGCAATAAATACACCCATCAGAAGCTCTCCTACAGTTCAGCGACAGGGAAGTTTGATACAATTTGAAATCGTGTCTTCTTTTCGTGAGGTAAACGATATATCGCTATTCAACGGATTAATTACTCTACAAAGAATTACACACATTTGAACTGATTGTTAACCTAAGTAACCTTTGAACACTCGAACATGTCTGAATAATGCACTTCGTCATGTGGAAAGCAGGCTTTAAGGCACGGGATAGGTTCAGGTTAATCAAAGGCTCCCTGAGCCAGCTCTTGGATGAATAGGCCAATTCCAAGTTGACTTTTGCCTCTGTAACAGAGCGAGTGTTTGTGCGGAATTATTCATATGAAATAGTATGTCACCTGTACATTCATTCTCATGAAAATCAAGTCATTTTATGTGAAACGTTTCGCACGAGCACTCATTCTGAAAAAGAGGCAAGCGGCAACTCATAAGTAGAAGTAAAGCCCGCGTATGAGCCAAGTGGCCCATCAGGCCAGTGATTCTCCGTTTCTGTAGCATGAAGCGACTAGGAATATTTCTACTACCCCCTGGATTGGATGTTAGTCCATCGCAGGGTTGCCCCCCAACACGAAATTGTACCAGTACCTATTTATACACCTGAGTGGATCAGAGAGAGGTACTGTGAGAGTCAAGTGTCTCGCCCGACGATCGACTTGAGAATGCCAAGACCGCCAAGAGTATTTTGCCCAATTTCACTTCAGTGAGATATGGATATTGGCAAAATCTTGTTTACTTTTAGCTATGTCAAACATAAAAAATTTGATTTTAGCTTGCTTTTAAATGGGAAATCATTTCAGACAGTTTTGTTTCAATCTTGAACCCCAAGGAAATGGGATGTTTTTATTTACAATTTATAAGTTCTTTTTTACTATGTAACTATGTCCATGGGGAAGGGGAAGGAAGTAACAAACTTTTCTTCAAGGAGGCTCTGCCCCAAGGTCAAAACCCTATCCACTTTACATAGTGTTTTTGAGAGGAAAGGCTTCTCTTTCATATACATATAGTTTCTAG